ATAGCTAACATCCACACCCAAAAAACATTTTTTGATGTGTTCGGTATTGCATATCTCTTCACTGTATTCACTGTATTTTTGGGCTCAGTGGTTTTGTTAGGGAACTACAACTGACTTTGCACAGCATATCTTTGCTGAAGTATTAAAACCTTGCAATTTTTTCTTCTTATTCTTCCTGTATTTATTTTGACTTTTTACTTTTTTAGAACTGTCAAATGACTAAATTTAGAGTGATTAATAACATTAATTTGTTGTAATTAAACAAGATTAATCACATTGTCTCATTTGCTGTTATTTGACCCTAAAGAAAAAGCATCACATGATGCTATCAAGGTGGGATAGTGAAGGTTAGCATGTGCTTCCTCAGGGTCATGGGAAGCCTCTGCATCTTTTCAAACTGCTGCTAATGCAATGGAGGAAAATGTTAATTATGTCACCTAACCGACTGTAGGCTGCTTCACTGAGTAGCTGTGTGGAGTTCTAGTTTTTATGTAGTGTTATACTATGCTGTAACCCTGTAGTTAAGGAAGTCTCTGGAGTTGTGAGCAGGCCACTGTCTCACGGGAGCGCCTGCCTCAGCTGAAAATGTAGGCCAGCTGAAACCTCCACACATGTCTACTGCATTCTCCCTTTCTCTCATATCTTCATAATGCATATATCCATATGTATAGTATATGGGATTCTTGTAATGAACAGCTAGCACATGCACGAAAGTTCTGACGACATGATCTGATTAGTTGTTTATTGTTCTTACATATGATAACAGCACTCAACCATTGCATCTGTTCTTCTTGGTGTATATTTGAAGCAAATTTCAGGGCTTCTTTGCTTTACCTTTTTGTTTACTTTGTAGACCAGTCGTATAAAAGTAACAGAATGTTATCATGTATAACGTCTTGGCTGTGATTTGGTCACGGGCACGATTGAGTGGTGAGAGTGGTAGATCATCACAGACACAATGTTATTTCCAGTATCGCACTCCCTCTTGTGTTCTCTCGCTTAAATGTCTATCATTATTTATTATTTTAATCCGTGATAAACACATTGTGAAGGGCTGTGAGGACAGTGGATCAAATTACATTACACACGTGCAGCGCAAGAGGAGAGTAATTAAATTGGCGGGAATTAAATGTTACAAGACATGTCTAATATCAGAGCAGCAGTGTGCTTGCTTTAGCCAGAACTCAAACCTAGGTATTCCACATTAGGGTATTAACCACTCTACTGCAGAGCTAATCACTAAATGTGGTTTAATGTAAAGAGATTTTCTTCCAAGCAGTTTTATTCATCATAAAATTTTCACACAATAAAAAGGGCATCTAAAGCACTCAAATGATGTAAAAACGATATCATCATCAAAACAAAATGGAGATTTTTTTGGATAGCAATGATTTATTCGTTTTTGTAGACCTATATAGATAACGCTGTTCAGGAAAAGCTGACTGTTTTTCCTACAGCCTTACAATGCACAAAAATTATGCTTGCAGTTTTGATGTAAGTACTGTTAGTATTTTTTACTTTGCACAATAGCGAATGTTGTTTTTGTAGTTTTGTATGTTTTGCTATTTGCTTGAAAGGAAAGAAATGAACAAAAGTGATCTTTTGTTGCCATAGGTCAAAGCCGCTGCCAAAGGTGTGCCACTAAGCCAAAAACGAGCCAGGAAGGAGGGGCCAGCCGTTCGTCGGAGAGAGAGAGATGTGGCCGCAGGGGCAGCGAGCGGCTCTGGCTTTGTTGCCAATCATTGTGCTGCTGTGGAAGAAGGTGGCTCCCATCGACGTTCCTCTAGACCGTGAGTCATATGCACAGATATCATAACAAATGTAGACAGTCATTATAGCTTTTAGAATAATTACTTATTGACATAATGCAGACTTGGTGGGGTAAAAAGACTGCTGGCATTGTGTGCTGATTGTTTAAACTGCTTTTGTTGACGTGTTTATGGTGCATGATTGTGTTACATGTTAATATGGAGGTGTTGTAAGCATATCATTAGAGAGAAAGAAGAGTGCAGTACATGTCTAAATATAATTTACAGAGAGAAGAGAGAGCATCACATACCCCCCCTTTCACACATACATACACACCTCACCCTCAATTCAGACGACTTCAACACTTGTAGTGTGAATTAATGTATATGCCATGAGTCCTTATGCTTTCTGTCATCTTCTATCATTATTTCACACCACCCAGAGAAGCTGTTATGAGTTCTCTTTTATGTTGTGCATCATGCCGTTTCTTCCCCGTAAAAAATTCTCCATAAAGAACATATTTGACTTTATAGGCACTAGCATGGTTGCACAATGTATTATTTAACTGTTATCCTGATATTGGCCTTTCCAGTACTGATATCCTAGAAGGATGCAATGTGCAGATGAGCCTGCCAACAAATACTTATTACTATGGGCAGCTTGACCAATCTTATCCTAATAATAGCACAGGAATTGCTATAGGATTCCTTTAGAAATCTTAAGGAATCTTTAGACAGTTGTTATAGATTTCTAGATACTCCGCAAGCATTATAGGTTACTTTAAAAGGGAGTCCCATCATTTTTACTGCATAATTCAGTTGTTAAGATACAAGCAAATTCATTCAGAGTGGTTTGATGTGACATGTGCCACTCTAGAGAAATTAACCAAGTCAGAATTGTTTACAGTAGTGCTGAGGAGCCAGATGTCCAAAGTGTATTTATATATATATATATATATATATATATATATATATATATATATATATATATATATATATAATTGTAGACATTGGCCCTTCATTCATCAAAGGTGAGCACAGTCAGATCTGATCATAAATTGAGCACACGCAAATTTCACAGACAGTCTTTTTAACTGTTAACTAACCAAAACTATTGTCAGTATCATCTATAATACCAATGACTCCGCCTAGAAGTATAGCCATTGGCTCACGTGGCGCTGAATGCTATCGCTTTACTGCATGAATTAGGCTGTGCTTAATTTAAATGATATGTAAATGGCATACTGATAGCCTGGTGCTTGATTTTACAAACTGAAGCTGATTCATTATTTACGCTCAAACCTCTGCTCTCTACAGACCAGATGCAGAATATGTCATCTAAGGTGGACAAATCTGCCCAATTTTTATGCAACTTTAAATAAGGGCCATTGTGACCCCTGGTTCCTATCACCACCATTGTAAAGAAAATCTTAAAAACGCACCATTTTACATTAAACACTCTGAATGACTTTATTTACATCACAGGCATTGAATTATGCAAAAGTTAGAAAAATAAATGAAGATTCGCTTGTAGGGTATGTTACAGGATAATTTTACAAAAGTGATTATTAATTACTATAGAATTACTATAGAAATCTTATAGTTTCTTACTGTGTTACTAGAATTCGTCTTTGTGTTTCTGTGGATGTTTTGATGAATCAAAAGTGCATGTAATCCAACTAGGGTAAATAATGTTGGTCAAAACAGTGCTTGCAAGGTATATTGTAATTTGCAACAAGCATGATATAATTGCAGTACTAGCTTTGTGTCCATATCGTGCAGCCCCAGACATTAGAGGACTTAATGTCTCAATTTTTTATTTCTAGAAAGTCAGTTTCATCCATGGCATTGTCTTGAATCATAGCAAAGCCAATTTAGCAGAAGGACATGGAAAACACTCCCTCATTTCTCAGACTTCTCCAGAGATTTCAAACTAAGAAAAAGATAATGCAGTCTCCCTTCTGCTCTTTTTTTGCTGCGTTCAATTTCTATTCTCTGCTCAACAATAGTGATGCAGATTTCACACTGGCCTCTTATGAAAAATGATTTGAGAGAGCATGGACAGACCCCGTGTCCCCACCCTCTGGAGGGGTGTCCTCACCACTCTGAACAATGAGGGCAGATTTGCTCTGACCAGAGGCTGTCAACACCTCCTAGTCATCTTTTTCTTCTCCTGCTCCATGGGCAACACCTCCTTCTTTCTCTCCATCTCTGCTTGTTTCTGTTTTTTTAGTGTCATAAACCTCTATTGATCTCTGAAGAAGGAGATGATTGGACCACAGCTCTCACATCTGAGAAAAGCGTGAGAGCCTGTGACCTCTTAACCCTTCCAAATGGATTCAGTAGCATCTGCTTTTAGAAGATATTATGTGTTGTTGGAAATTGCTGTTAAAGATTTGAAACAGAACATATGTATTCTGTAGTTTAATGTACTGTGGAAAATTATATTTTATATTTTTGTATTATGTAGCATATGGTATGATATTTTAGTATAGTATATTCTGTCTGATGTTCAGGTTCTGTCTCATATGGAAAAGACATTATCTCACATTTTCTGTATATCTTTTAATAATTGAATAACTTCAGTTTTGGAAAGTCCTGTTTTCTACTTTTCAATGAATGCCCAGTGGTTTCTGACTTTTGGACCGTGCTGTATCATGATACTTGGAGACGTTTATGCAGTACACAATGTATATCACAATATTTAGCTTTCCTGAAATTGGTGAATGAGTTAGAATGGGTAAAACGCACTGGCAAAATAGTAGTACCACATTGAACTTTTGCAAAAATAAACGATTTAAGAAGGAGAAGCAGGAAAAATCAAACTGCTTCACATACTGTTCAGAAGTTTAAAATCACTTTTTATACTAATAATTTGTGTTATTTTATTTGCAAGAATAACTTATACAATATAGATTTAATTAAATCTTTAAAATTACACACCAAAAGGTATTTTTACGTTTTATTCAACATTTTTAAGTTATTTGAGTTATTATACACTGTGAATTCCATACTGTAATTATTTACAGTAATTTTTTGTCAAGTTATTTACCTCAAGATTTGATCAGCACTTTTCAAATATGAGGCTTTATGTTAAATGTATTGTAACATCATTCTTCATAATACACAGCAATCAGTATAGAATCATTTGCAGCTCTGATCATCATCTAAAATATTGTGTTTTTTCCTACTAATATCCCAGTTTCCTAATAATTATTTTCTTAACTTTTAAACAGTAGTGAAAATAAATAACTAATAATAATAACAATACATAAAAATAAAATAATGATAAAAATAATGACATCCAATCTGCTACTTGTTACTATGCAGTTCAAATAGTGACTAGTTGTTGTTGTTGTTTATAGGCTCTCTATATTTGGTCTAAATCTTTTTTATACATGCAGTTGTTTAATGGTATAGTAGCATTGGCAATACCCATTATGTACTCAGAAAAGCTTCTGAGAAAACCATAATCGATAACATATTGTCATATTTCCAATCCCTAATTGAAAGGGATGTTGACTTATACAGGTCTTATTCCAGCCAATCAGGTTTTCAGTTTAGTTATTTTCATCCCTATCAAGACAGAACATAGAGAACATGTCCATAAACAGTTTTACAGTGTTCTTTTTTGTTATTTGTGGGATTTGTGGGGTCATTTCTCTGTACCTCTCTCTGAGTGGTTAGCTGTTAGCATGTAGCCCTCTGTTGACCCATTACCCCCTTCCTTCCCTTTACTGATGAGTGCACTATTGTTGAGGGCTGTCTTCGCCTTGCAGCTGACCTTGGCTCCTATTTCTCTCACTCTATCTCTCCCTTAAGATACTCTGTCCCCTTGAGATTTTGTACATATGCTATGTTTGAAGTAAGATGATAAACAGCCAAAACCAGAGTTGCATCTGTCGCAAAATTACTATCAAAATGACAATAGACATATAGAGGCCTCTTGATAAAGTCCTCTCGAGTACTGACCTTTAAATAAAGGTCATCTGTTTTAATTAGTGTGGCACAATAGAGCGCCACATTTGATTCCTCACAATCATATATCACACTGATTACAGTCATTATGAAATATGCCAAGCCCCCCACCAAGTCTGTCATTTTAAACACCAGAAGAAGAGCAATAGTTAAAACTAAACGCAAATATGCTGTCACGTTGCAATATGAAAAATGTCTTGATTGTGCTTTGACTGTGACAGTAATGCATTGTTATTTAATGTGCCATATTAATTTATGTCCCTTGTTATTTGTTTGCCATCACTGTGTAGCTTTAGAAATACGCTTAACTGAATTTGTTCTCTTTTCATTCCACTCTCTCTCTTCTCCACACGCCTGTAATCCATTAACAGGTATGTCTTTTCCTGTGACAGTGTCTTAGCCTGTCTTATGTGTATTTGATGTCTAATATGTGATGTCTATTATGTGAAGAAGTTTGTATTCCTAATATTAATAATAACTTGAGAAGTGTGTTCTAATAAATGTCATTTAGTCTTAATGGTAGTTGAATTGTCTGGCAGTGTAACTGATTGGATTTATATGTTTATTGTTGCTTTTACTAAACCTTAAAGGGCCCATATCCTACATTTTCTTGTCTTATAATTTTTCCACTTTTTATATATATGTGATTTAAGTTTGAAAAACAGCTGCAGTTCTTTTTTACATAAGCATCTTCCAACCTCGCTGTATCCCTTAGAATTAAACAGGCTGTTTTTGTCCCTGTACCTTTAAGACTGATATAATACCAATTTTGCCCCTTGGTCAAATTACATGTTTTATTGTTTTGTAAAAATAGGTCAACATTTCCTCTACAAGTACATAAATAAATCAATGCAATTATGTATTTGTTTATTTGTTGAGTTTAACCTATTGGAATACATGTGTGCCATAACTTTTGCACTGGTCACATTTTGTGTTTTTTTCTCAGTATGTTAAATTCAGCAAATAGACATTAACTGTGCCTTAAAATATGCAAAAGTGTGTTCTCTGTAGAGGATGTGTACTTGTCTTCTTTTAGAAGGGCGATCAAACTTTTGCATATGACTGTATGTATATGACCCCTGTTCTGATTGGCTGCTTTATTCATTTATTCATTCATTTATTATTTATTGCACATAAGTAATCTGAGCTGAAATGTTCCTTATAACTTCAGCATAAATTGTTGAGCAACACTGCTGCTAAACATATATATGAGTTTCCATTACATCACAAAAACAGTGAATTAAAAACAGGCTATTTTTGCAGCTTATTTTCTATAGATGGATAGCTTTGACTTACATTTTAAACAGTTTTTATTACTAAATCAAGCTCTTTTTCAATCTTTAAAAAATGAGCTTTGTTTTCTGTGATATGGGCCCTTTAAACATACTACTTAGTCATTATTCAGGCTTTCAGCTCCATCTACTTTTGTGTGTGTCTCTCTCTGTCCTCCCCTTTCACCATTACATCTCCTGTTTTTCTTCTCTCTGGCTACCCCTCCCCTGGAACTAACAGCAAGGATCCAGCAAGACTGTAAGTGCTTCATTAACACGGATTAACTTGTTCATTTAAACAGCGTCTTGTTCCAATTAAGCTTTAAACTGAGGTTATCAGATCTACAATCTGAACCATTCAGTCAGTGCTGATCTTTGGACACAGTTCCTCTAGAGTGCGTTAATGCTGTGTACTGGAGATTAAGACTCATATTGTCGTTGTGCTGCACATGTTCCAAGTCTACAAGCTTCCAAACAGACCAAGACTAGAAATTGCCTAGGCAGAGATAATAATAAGCCTTAGAAGTCTGGATGTAGTAACAGCATTTTTCTTCTTTAAAAGTAATTACACAATTACATGATTAATTGCATAGTTGCGTGAAGTTACATTTAATTTATAGTCTGCATTGACAGCTTTTAGTCTGTATGCACTTTTTTATCTGTTTCGATGTCAACAAATGACAGAAACTTGGTAAAAAAATTCCATAAAACAAGATTGTGTGCAGTGACTTTTCATCAAATGCATATGGATCATTCTACCAAATTGGTTCAAAGTCAGAGTTGAAAACTCATTTCAGGCTTTTAACTGACTTTGGACTTGGAAAAAGTTTAATTGTAAAAAGTATGTGTTTCGGAAGTTCTTAATGTTGCACACTGAATTTAAGACATTGGGACACATTTACTTCAACATAATGGGATCTAACTACTAACCATGTGGCCATGAGGGACGGGGATGCAGTCTCACTTCCTGCTCTAAAATGCAGGAGTGTGGCATTACTCTATAATGATAGTGGTAAAATTAAATATTTTAATTGCACTTTGAAAGAAATAAAAAGATATTTTAAAAAACAACACACTTTTTTTTTGTTTTTTTAATTGAATTATTTCTTTCACAAGTTGAAATTTAGGGGTTGAGGTTTCGGACAGCCACCTCCCAATAGAAAGTACCCTCTAAATGATATTTTATATATACTACTGAGTTTGCTAACTCAGTTAAAGCTGTGGTTTTAAATCAGTCATGGTATAATCCTTGTAAATATCTGAATACTTCATTGTTTTTTAAATGTTTTTTTTCCTCCTTAAATCAGTTTGAACTAATTTGGTAGTATGGTACATATTTTTAGAAAGTTTGAATCTGTAAGTTTGATTTTTTTCACTTGCTACTGTGAGCTACAAGTGAAAAGTAATCAGCATTAAATTAGATGTCTCTTTTGTTATTGCCAGTAACTTTTAATGATTATATTATGCCAGAACACATTTTCCACTCAACTAGCTAGAAGTTGAATAAGGGTGGAAAACAATTAGCAGTCATGCACCTAAAGTGGTCTGTTTAATATGTATTATACTGTGAGCCCAGCTTTGACGGGGCCAATGACAACAGGAGGTGCATGGGGAGGGTCAATGTGATCTTATAACCTCCATCACTGAGAGAGTCCTACTGGCACACTCCTTCTACTGGCCTGGTCTCCTGGTCTGCTGCTTGTCTGTGTTGTAGGATTTATGAGCAGGTCTAAATGTAGAACGCTCTAAACATAACACGTAACACATAAAATCTGTGTTAGTAGTAGCAGTCAGCTCGTCTTCTGAAGTACTACTATAATAGCTGTGATTTGAGAAGAAGAGTTTACTTTTGAACTTCTGGAAACTGTTTAAGAGGACCAACAGGACATCTTTTGTTTCAGTAACACTTTTAACAAGCCCTTGTCCACTTGGTCTTGCCATTTCCCCTCAGAGGAATTCCTGACACCATCTTAAGGACTGGTCCTTTACTTTATAGATAGTATTTGCAAAACCCAGAAAAGTGTCCCGCAGCCATATTGTTGACATTCAGTCAGCATAATGTGCATGAACAAACAATGCCACTGATGGCTTCCAAATCAAGATGTCAAGAAAAAGTCAGTTTGATCGGAAGTATTGATCCATACCAAATCGACAAGTTATCTTCGAGTTATGTTAATGCCCACAATAACATATCCAGACATATATAATTACCTACGTACTGCATCAGCATATATATGGTGGGAGCTAAAAGCATATAAATCGCTGGAATCATATAATTGTTTTGTCTGTGGAAGGGCCAGCAGTATTCTGTCTTTTGTATCATCAGCTACACCAACAAACGCCGTTATGATCACAAAAGTGAGTAACAGTACCGTATTTGTGCTTGATGGGGTTAATCAGTTTTGGCTTGACTCTAGCTCAAGCTAACGTGAGCTCGGCTAGCATCCCGGCATTCTCTCAACTCCATTCATTGTCTAGCTAAAGCATCACAAACCTAGATGAAAATAGTAAGATTGCATAAATCAGTCATCAGTCAGTGGCAGTTATCAATCATGAACAATTCTCAACACTCGAAAACAGTCAAAGGCAACACTACAGAGTTCATCCTTCACCTGAATGTCAACCTGTGACAAAATGACGAGAGCAAACTTTGGTATTGCAGGAAGACTGAAAGTATTTCCTGTTTATTCTCGCTATCAAAAAAAATCTCCTTTGCCTGCTCAGCTCTTCAGCCTCTTTCTCCTCATGACATTAGACAGCCAGGATGCTGTCAGTGGTATGTCAACAATATGGTGGCGGCGACAAGTATGACATCAATCGAATACTATCTAGTAGCTCAAGTGGAAGGTGTTAGATTAATCCTCGGGGGGCCAGGGATTGAGTGAACAACTTCAACTTCAATTCAAGTTAACTTCACCAACAGAAATGGCAGAGTAGTCACTAAGAACTGACTCAAACTTTTAAACTCAAAAATAATGTGGAGATGCTTGCAATTACAGCAAAACACAGAACATCAAAAATTTACAGCAATACAGAGATAACATAGGGAAAAATAGAGTTTTTAAAAGTAATTTTTCATATAAGTTTTAAGATTTTGAATGTATGGAGAGAATCAGACTGTTGGAGTTGTGAAGGGAGAGAGTTCAAAAGACAAGGAGCAAATCTGGAGAATGCTCACTATGGAGGGTTGATGAAGGAATGGTGAGCCACCCAGCTGAAGAAGAACTGAGGGAACAAATGGATTGGTAGAGAGTTTTAATGCTAAGATATAAGCTTCCATTGTTTGTTTGCTATATTGGCCTCTTATCTCCAATGCAAAGCCGAAGAAACAAACTTCAGGCACATCATGTCTTGGCTTATCAATATTTGGGGAAGATTGTGTAAATGTCTCCAAATTATCTCTTGTGTGTGTGCTTTGTCAATCCATAGAGCTGTGCTGATATATTCTTCCTTTTTTCCTTTAGTGAAACAGCCCCCTACCATTGTGAAGCAGTCTGTGAAGGACTACATTGTAGATCCCCGAGATAACATCATCATTGAGTGTGAGGCCAAGGGGAACCCTGTGCCAATGTAAGGATTCACAAAGCCCTTTATTTCTCTCTTTCTCTCCTTTCTCATTTCCCTCCCTCTTTGTCTCAGTCAGTTACGTCCATTTTCACATTCCTAACCCTAGCAGTAGCCAGTGTTCCAATTGTTTACATCTTAAATAGTCTTTCACTTTTACTTTGTTGCGTCCTTTTATTTTGCTGGTATTCTTTTGTTCAGTCTCACTGTCCCTACTGTCCTGTCACAATATCCTGCCCTTTTGTCCTTTGTACTATTCTGTTCCCTCTCATCTCTCTCTTTCTGTCTCTCTCTGTGTTTTTCTCTCTAATGAAATCTGACAGTCATTAGTATGGGCACGGAAAGCTGAGCACATTCTGCTAGGTGGCATTCCGTGTTCCAGCCTGACAGAGGCACTGCCAGTTTTGCCCGCTTCCTCCCTCTTGCTATGCCTTCAGAGAGATGGACAGCGGGGCAGCAGGCTCTGGTCCCATCTAGTCCCATCCCTCTCCCAGCTTACGTAAAAGGAGGCCTGGGCAGCTGAACACAGTGCTTCTATTCAGATAGGCTGTTTGTTTGCAGGCCTATTGGGCTTTATATAACCTGCCACTAGCCTAGCCTTAGGGGAACCATGGTGCTAGAATAATGTACCCAGTGGGTCAGTTATTGAACTGAACGTTCACATGGATCTTTTATGTCCCCCAATCAGCATCCTAATCTTTTTACATACATTGTTGATGATGTAAACTTCTCCCTGGTCTTCACTATGGGTCAGACTGTGTAATTATCATCAGCATAAATAAGTAAAATATTCCTAAATGTTACAGGTTTTGGTGGAGACGGAATGGTAAGTACTTTAATGCGGAGAAAGACCCGCGTGTGTCCATGCGGAAGCGCTCTGGTACGCTGGAAATAAGCTTCAGGAGTGGAGGAAAGCCTGAAGAGTACGAAGGAGAATACCAATGCTTCGCTTCAAATGACCTTGGCACTGCAGTTTCCAACAAAATACTTCTACGAGTATCCAGTGAGTACCTTTGAAATCTTTAAGCAGAAGAGCATGGTAGAGGCTGTGTCATTTCAAATAACGTCATGGTTTCAGCCTTTGGCTTGTGCCATAGGTCACTGTCAGGTTGTTATCTGAGATGACACACAACCTCAAGTGTTCTTTTATAAAGAAAAAAAAATCAAAGCAAAAAAAATCTAGACATTTATTTTTCAAAACATATTTGCTGGACCATCCATGGGCCAGCCTATGAGAGTCACTGTCTCTTACTGAGCCACTGACTGACTGACTGAGTTACTGACTGATATTCCTTGTTATGTTGAGCGAGACAAACAGAAGGTAGCGGAAAACACCTTAGTTAAATGAAGCTACAACATCCACCTATATCCCATTTATAAAACTGACATGCAAATAATGAAAGAAACCAGAAAACAAAAGGCTTTTGTCAAAAAAATTCTAATTATTATTATATTATATTATAACAAGTGCAGTAACACAGTTGGAAATTCTCACCCTGCAGTACAGTCAGCATTATTTAGCTCATTTAGGGGGGACAAACTCCCAAGCAACACCCTTGATATCAGGGGAAATTCTGGATTTTGTAGGTTCATTTGTCCTTATAGTGTATGTGAATGACTACACTGCAGTTTAGTCAAGATGTTTTAATTAATGTTTAGTCAGTAGCCATAGACCTACATGCTTTACTTACATAGTCATACACTAATACAAACACACAGAAAATACATATGGACCCATTTTTGACACTGTCCTGTGTTCTTCAGAGTCTCCGCTGTGGCCTAAAGAGGTTCTGGAGCCGGTGGTGGTCAGTGAGGGGTCTCCGCTGATCCTGCCCTGCAATCCACCTCCTGGCCTGCCCCCTCCGAACACCTTCTGGATGAACAGCGGTAAGCCTCTTTCTTTTTCAACGTTTGTTGGTTGGTTGTGCTTACTGCCTCTGTTTCTGTCTCTCCATAAAATTTCTGTCTTTCTCCATCACTAGCTCCATTTCCATCCAAGGAATTTTTGCTTCAAAAAGTTTGTCAATATAGGCTGTAGAAGTGGAAATTGTTGATAATGTTGCAAAAACCTACATTGGAAAAAATAATAATAGAAATAAAATAAAAATGCAGTTATCAGTAGTTTATGGAAAAGTTAGGGAAGCCAATGTTACACAAGTTATGACATAAAATTAGAGATGGAAACTTGTCAGACTTTTTTTATCGATAAACCAAAATTTGTGCAACAACAGTTTTTTTGCAGGAAATGACTTCATTAGGTGAAACATTTTAGTGTTAGAAGTAGGTTTGATGGAAACAAGCTGATGGACGGCAAATATAGCAAACGTATTTTTTTTGCATTTTCAGTTTATTGCTTGCAATTTGTGCAGAAATTGAATGGAAACATAGCTAGTCACTCTCTCTTGCTGTGTCTCTCTCTCTCTCTCTAGCTCTCTCTCACCCACCTGTCCTGAGGATAGCTGTGTCTTACTGCTGACCTAGTGTGCGTGTATGAGTGAGAGCATGTGTGCATGTGACTGCAGTGCCTCGCAAAGAGCTGAGAAGGCATTTTAGCAGCCTCAACCTCAGGAGTCACACATGCGCATTTATTATGCATATTCATTACATCGGTAACATGGTGCTGGGAAAATACTGAATGATATTGGGAAAAAATCCTGCTGTGATATTTTAGATTTATGATATAAATATTGCGAATTAAAAAACAAAAAAATTACTAGTTAAAGCATTCTCCTATTAACATAATTAACACTAGCAATTAAAAGGGTGTGGGGAATTGACATATCTATGCTCCACCCACACATGAACTCTATCACAGCAACTGTTGTTAGGTTGGTCAAACTTCACAGACTGTTGGCAAGAAATGTAATGAAAAACTGAAATCCAGTTTTTGTCAAGATACTCAAATTTAGTTCCATTATTATTTTCAAATGTTATTTATTTTGTGTATGTGTGAAAGGTCACACTGTTAGGGTGGTTTGGGGATAGTTTTTTGTCATGTAGTTGAGCTAATATTAGCATGGTGGCATTTTGATTAGCTACAACAACATAATCCAGTTTAGTAGTGTTGAATTTTAAGCTGGAAAGTCAATATTATGTAGCAAATCTAAACTCCACCCTACAAATGAGTGGGATTTTGGCAAACATTTTGTAAAGCTTGTCCAACGTCACAACAGTTACGAAAGAATGCATTTGTGGGCAGACCATGGATAGGTCAGTACAGGCAGCAGTTCAATATTAGTAGATTCTAAGATACTAAAAGGCCCATATTCTGCAATAATCGTATATTTTACTTTTTCTTCTGAGGTCCACTTATAATAATTTTATGTACCAAAAATGTTTTACCGTTTAGAATAAACAGGCTGTTTTGTTACTGTCCCTTCAAGATTGATACATGTAAATGACCTCAGTTCTGCTTGCTTCCTTTGTACTGGGCCTCATTCAAAAAGTCCATGCTGAAATACTCTTTATAACTTCAGCACGAGTGGGCAGAAGCACTGGGATAGGCTCCAGCACCACCAGTGACCCAGGAGAAAAAGTGGCTTAGATGATGAGTGAGTGAGAGATGAGTGGGCAGAGCTAGACTGCTGCTGGGCTAAATTTGTGTTGGGGTTTATCACTTCAGAAAACAGCGAATTACAATCAAGCTGTTTTGCTGCATAGTTTTCATATATGAACTTGTATGACTGGAGCGTGAATGGTATGTTTCAAAACCTCAACAGTGTTTAAGTACTACATGCTCTTTTCTTTCACAAAATCAAGGAAGTCTTTGTTTTCCATGACATGGGCCCTTTAAAATACTTATTGTATGAGGATGGATAATGACAAAAGAGACAATAATGTCTAAACCAATTTGCAAAGTCTGTGTCAGTGTGAAGATTCCTTTCTGTACTTTGCTCCTCCTACATGACCACACCATCCATCTCTTGAAGCTGCCCTGTGCTTAGCATGACTTATTGTGATAAAACACATGACTAGCCAATGGACTGCCTCTCACTCTCATTCCTCACTGTACTCTGTATACCCTGAAGAGACACAGGCTAGGAGATGACATGAGTGACAAAGTGCAGTTCACACTAGCTTAGCATACTAAGCTTTCAGAAGCCCACAGGCTTTTATTTCCCAAACCTAATGAGGGTTTCATTAAGGATGTAAAGAGGTAAGAATATAAAGTGTATTGTATTACAGTCTCCTCCAAACGTATTGGAATAGCAAGGCTAGATCTTTTGTTTTTGCTATACACTGAAAACCTTTGTGTTTTTGATCAAAAGATAAGTGTGAAATAGATCAGAATTTCAGCTATTACTTCCTGATTTACATATTTACGTCTAGATGTGTTAAATAAGTTAGAACATGGCACCTTTTCCCGGAGGCATTTTTTTTGTTTTGTTGGCAGTGTGCTTTGAGTCATTTTTTTTTTTGCATGAAGGTTCTCTCAATTAGAATGGATGCATTTCTCTGTAAATTGGCAGACAGAATGTTTCTTTAGACTTCTGAATTAATTCTGCTACTACCATCATCAATAAAGATTAGCGAGTCCATACCAGAAGCAGCCATGCAAGCCCAAGCTATGATACTACCTCCACCATGCTTATACCATGAAGTTGTATGTTGTGGATCATGAACAGATCCTTTCTTTCCTTCATCTTGGCCATTTCACCACTTTGGTTGAAGTTAATCTTTGTTCCATCAGTGCATGAAACTCTGTTCCAGAACTTTTGTGGCTCATCTATGTATTTTTTTTACAAATTCCAATGTCTCGATTTTCCATCTTTTCTCAGCTTTAAAGTGGCTTGTTTCGGCTTGCTTTTCTCCCATAGATGATTCTCTGGTCTTCATGTTGGTTTATCCTTTTTAACAACAAATGCAGTCTTTACAGATGAAACCCAGGGCTCAAAGCAATTGCAAACATCTAGAGCTATGAATGATTTGTACAGTCAATGTAACAGGGTACACCTGGGCAACAAGAAGCACCTGTCAACCAGTATTTTTGCTCACTTGAAAAATGGGTGGGTTTAAACAAAAGGTGCCACGTTGTAAGTTGTGTAACACATCTCAATGTAAGTATCAGCCCAGAGGAAAAATTTTCCTTCTTAAGATTGTCTCAGAGAAATAAAGCACATCTCAATATTATATTAATAAAGGATGGCTGATTTCTGAATTGTTTTTCCTAAACCCCCTTTGGAGAAAAGAAGAGATTAACATCAGCATTTCACTATAAGACATCCTGGTGATAAATGAGAAAAACATGAGTTCTCCTACTGCACTGATAGATGACGATGAGATCATAAAGAAATATTAAATATTAAAATATTAAATATTAAAGAGATATTATTCAGCTGAGACTGGAGTGAGACAAGTCAAACACTAAAGAGTTAAGGCACAATGCATGACAACATTTCAATCAAAGTGAGAAAATCTGAGGGTTATTTCTCAGGAGCCAAATTTCAGAAACAGGAAAAAATGGCTGAAGTCTCACTCTGATTTCAAACTGGACTTAACCATGTCTAGAAGTACTTGAGATCAAAAGGGAGGTCTCATTTAGAATATTTCTTTCCCATGCTAGGAAATCAGCTGAAATTCTGATCTGTCATCTCATTTTGATCTTTTGATCTCAAACCCAAATATCTTCAGTGTATATCAAAAACAAATTCACTGACCTTGCTGTTGCAATACTTTCGAAGGAAACTGTGAAACAATATACTTTATTGTTGCATCCTTGGTAAAAAACCTCATTAGCTTTGAGAAACCAAAGCCTTTGGGCTTCTGAAAGCTTAGCATGCTAGTATGAACTGCACTTTGTCACTCATGTCAACTTCTGGCCTGTGTTTCTTCGAGAGATGTACTGTACAGTGAGGAAAGAGGATGAGATGCACTCAAAGCATTTGATTCAAAGATTGTACTTTGAAACTGAATGTGGAAATAGTGTATTAATGTAGGGCACATTTTGGCCACAATTCTTTTGGCTGTATTAAAAAATGTATAAGATCAAGAAACCACTGTATTGTATCGAAACAAGCTGTGAATTCGGTAAATCTTTCCACCCCTAGTTTTCACAGCAATTTTCTCTTCTTTTCTCCAGCTATGATGCCCATAACACAGGACAGCCGGGTGTCAATGGGACTGAATGGGGACCTCTATTTCTCCAACGTGTTAGCTAAGGATGCTAGCACTGACTACAGCTGCAATGCTCGTTTTCTCTTCACGCACACCATCCAGCAGAAGAACCCCTTTTCTCTGAAAGTCATGACAAGTGAGTAAGAACTGACCCAGAATTGGCTAACCAGTGCATTTTTGTGTTTGTGTTTGCCCAGTGCTAAATTCAAGTGTATAACAGAGAATTTGTTGTGAGAAATACCATTCAATAATGTCTACCAGGTTGGTCAGACACTAGAGGGATCTGTAGAGAGAGTCCACAATGAATGAGTTCCTATGGAGCTTTTGTACAAAATTGTAGTTTTGTTATGCTTAATTATTTTTATACAGGATACGTAATATTATACATATTATACATATTTTCTCAACAAAGAGTAGCATAAAAAAATGGATTGTGTTATCTTTTTTTATAGAACACATCCTTCTACTTTACAAAATTAAAGGAAGCTCCAGAATCAATGGCTAAATAATTAAGCCATTTAGTGTTGTGCACTCCCATGCATGTTTTGCATTTATGTTTTTAGTATAATGGCAGAAATAGGAAGCAGCCAGGCTCCCTATAAATTGACTCCCTCAGTACATCAGAGGATGAATACTGACAAATATGAGGTACAATGTGTCCCTCTAGTGGTGGTTTGACTATACTTCATCGGGCCTCAACTTCAAGTTGCAAGGACTGCTCAGTGTATGGACTTGTGTGAATGACAGACCTTCACTTTCATTTTGTTTCTTCACAGCATTTCTTCCATATAACTCCTGTATTCATTTATATTAATTTTGATGATCTTAAGCTATGCTAAAGACTGAAAGAATGTAAAATATGCTAAGAGGCCTTCTGCTTAAAAGTTCTGTTTTTTAAAAACATTTAAATCTATCCTTATCATTAAATAATCTTTCCTAGCACCAAACACATAATTCCCAAAGCATATACTATTTCTTACAAAGCATGTAGTTATTACATTACACCAGTATATAATTACATTATTAGCCTATGTAATCAGGCTTTTGATTGCATCCTTGAGTTCTAACATGACATTGCTTTTCCAGTGACACTCATAATCACTAGGAGGAAATCAAGATTGATTCTATTGATCCAGCCAGCATTCAACATGAATAATATGACTCACGGGAACCAGCCCCCCTCTTAGTGACAGCTGTCAGAGCTTTTTGTTCACTACTTATTTGTAGACAAGACCAGTGACAGACTCTACTTACAAAGAATTGTAAATAACATATTGTGTATTTTCTTGGCATACTTTCTGCAGTCAAGTAGATAATGATGGTTGTAGTGGTATCTAGACACCATATTGTTTATTCATTTATTTACACCAATTATCAGTTGTGTTCATATTGAGATTACGATTGAACACATTGGGCCTCATTCATCTATTTAAGTTTGTTTTAAAAATTTGTTCTTGAGAAAGGTCCTGAGAAAAAGTCATTGGTGAATGTCAGAATCTTAGTGAAAACTACACAAGTGGGTTTTTAAGAAGGAATTTCTTCTTAAGACTGGTTGGTGAATGAGGCCCAATATTTTTTGAGCACAAAAACCTTCCCAATGTTTTAAAGAATCCTACTGTATTGTTATGTTTAGTATAGTAGGGATGGATATTACGTAGATACTTTGTTAAGTCTTAGTCTGGATATTTCACAAAGCACAGTTTCTTAAGCTGCATAACCTAAGCCCAAAATGGCGGTTGTCCAGTAGAAACAACATTTTTCTGTTCTCCTATTGGACAGGAATGACTTTGGTCTTAAGTTATCTCTGGCATTTTGGGAAGATGTTACAATATTTTAAACTTGACAAAATTAAATTTTTGGAAAGTATTTTTCATATGGAGGAGAAATGTATGTTTATAATCAATATAATTTAAAAAAAATGTTCTTTTATGTATGGTAATAACACCAAAAGGTATATTTAGATGTTATCTATTTATGTAAATGTCTGCTTTGACATTTAAGCTCTCTTTTGAAATATGACAAATTCCGCATATTCATTTTTATACTTTCATTTTCAATGTTATACAGCTTTTTATAGCTTGCAAAGCTCCTACTAATTATTTAAACCTGTGAAACTGAACAAGAATAGCATATTAGAAATATTTTATGAAACATAATGGCTTTTATATTATTGATATTATTGATATATTAGTGAAAATTCCAAACTTTTAAACGGGATTGTATTTGCTCATATTCAAAATATGCATGCAACGTATCCTTAAAATGCAAATTTTAGTGCACAGTTTCTGTTTATTTGCTGGGTTTAACATATTGGGAAAAAATGAAACAAAAAGATGATATGCCATAACTTTTGCACAGACCACATTTTTGTTTCATGCTTTTTTCCAATACGGTTTTCCAAAATTCAGCAAATAAACAAAGGAATGGCCAGTGGTTGTGATTAAAGAGAATAGAGCCAAGCTAACCACACTGTATGTAAGCAATTTCAAGGGACAAAGCTTTCTCTGGATGTTGATGGTGTAACTCTGTCCACAGAGGAGCCTTATAATGAAACTCACTCCTCTCTGAACGACACTGATCTGTATGGTGGTGAGTCCCTAAGGCCTCAGCAGTTTTTCTCCCCCCTCCCTCCAAACCAGCTCTAGTCTCAATTTTCCAATCTTCTAACAAGACTAGTGCTTACGCTTCTAACCACTTACCCAGGGGAGCCTATAAATACCTCAGGCTATTTTGAGTTTAGTGAATTTTGGGTAAAAAAAAAAAAACAAAAAACACTTCTAGACATTAGAACCAGCTGTCAGGATTCATATGCAGACAGATGCAGGCTTTGTGAGCCCCCAGGGGTTCTAGACCGTCATCTTCATCTCACATCAAGAAAGTCTCCACCAGGAGCACCCATTCACCCAGAACCTACACCATTGTGCTGGCGCAGACATGTCACAGGGTTGTGGAACATGTGTTGCTGGCACTTCCATAGGCTAATCCTCCAGGCCTATTCTACCCTCCCCATGCCACTAACAATAGGCCTCGTCCCTCTGTTCACAGGCTATGCTAATAGCCCCAGGCAATGCTAATTTCACTGCTGTATGTGTGAATGCAGCACAATCGGTGCTAACTCTGACATTTTCTTCACGTTTTCCTTGTTTGAGTGGTGTGATAACAGGAAATTACATCTGTAACTAATCCATGTGTGTTCTGTCCTTATTTAATGTTTTTTTTCAGCCATGCTGTCAATGCTATTTATTGCTGGCATCTGATCAGAAATGATCAGCATGTCCTGCAGAAACCCTTCACATTATGAAATTATGGCTATTTGGGCTTTTTATATATCTCTCACGAACACATTAATTTTTGAATTCTCAAAATATCTTAGTCTGAGACAAAGTTATGACTTTCTAAAGTCTACCACCTTTGAAAAAACAAAATTAGCAAAATCTCATTTAAAGATTTTGTTACATTCCATCAAGGTTCCTGATTTATGAAGAGGAAGCAGGGTACAATTTAAGACATTTAAATTATTACCAGTTATTTAAAAATGATCTATTATTGTATTTATGAACTTTGCCATCATGTTGCTATAGACATTATCCAAAGTAAATTATTAGTTGTACATATATCATTTATAAGTTAGAGTAAATAATATTTTTACACCAAGATCTGCTGTATTGACTCATATCAGTTATTTCAGATTATTTACAAACATATATATATATATATATATATATATATATATATATATATGGAGATGTTCCAAATATCTAGTGTTATCCATGCATTGTGTATTATTTTATACAGGAAACTGGACAATATATAGCAAATTTAAACTGCAGCCCAAATTCATTAAATAGGATGACATTTTTGCCAACTGTCTGTGTATCTTATCTGAACTTACGACAGTTGCTATGATAGCGATGTTGCGATGATCAGTACCTACTTCTGCTTCAATAGCTAATGGAATTAACATAGTAAAATCAAGCAGTGGCTTATTGACTCAAGGTTTCATAATTACCAAACCTTCAAGAAGGTTTGTTGTTGAAAATAAATCCTTTAATGGGCAGGGCAGGCTGTTTAAGCATTGCAGCTCGTAACTTTGGCTGCCTCCAGACATTAGCAGCCAATCTGCTGCTCTAGAAAAACCAAACCAAGAACAGCCCTCTTTATATAATGATGTGACCTTTAAATCAGGTGCTCCATACAGCTCCTTTTGAGTCTATCTAGAAAATGAAAGTCTAGATTTGATCAAGTCAGACAGGGTGAGATTATTCAGTAAATATGTAATAAATTAACATTAAATTCTTTAATTAGATCGCTGTTGTTGTGGTTGATGTATACATGTTTAATGTGTCTATATATTTGCCTTATTGTTTGGACTAAGACTGATTAGACCCACAACTAACTGCTACTGGTCTTTAAGCATTTAACATTAAGCATTTAAGTGTCATTCTGTGTGCCTAACTTTGTTTGTGTTAATGTTTATATGTGCATATTCCAGGCAATAAACTAGTCTTTTGTTCTCCACAGCACGTAAAATTCCTGAAACTGCACCTAGCTTTCTCTCTCCCTCTGGACTGCACAGCTCCAAGATGGTGCTCCGTGGGGAAGACCTTCTTTTGGAGTGTATCGCTGCGGGAGTGTGAGTGACTCAGAAATAAAACATGCTCAGACAAACACTACAGTTCCAATACTTGGAATCACATCAATTTTAATACTTACTGTCATTTTATATTGGTAGTAACTAGAGTTGATTTTTTTCCAAATTCGATACAGATATTAAAACCTTTGAAATGAGCTTTTTTTTTAATGGAAGCACTTCACTTAAAGCTACACTATGTATGATATTTTGTTCAAACTGAAAGTAGTACCATTACTGAGTCAGGATAAAAAAAATGCGTGCGTGCGCTGCTGCGAGTCGCCTGTAAGGCTTGAAATAATAGTTTAAAGGTTATACAGTTACACAGTTCCACCACAGAGGTCTCAAAATCCTCAAATCTTACATAGTTCACCTTTAGTATGGTAGCATTTCTTTGCTGAAAGCAGCCACATTCCGATATGCTGTCTCAAATTATAAATAGTGTGGATTTAAATATTTGAAACTATATCCTAAAATATATTTTTAGATGTTTTGCATTCAATATCTGAAATAGTTTGGGGACAACAAGAAGCTATTAAATTATAAATAATATACATTAGTGATCAGTTGACCATATTTATTGTCATTATCTCCCTCAAGATTTGATCATCACTTTTCAAATACAGGTTCTGTGTTATTATACAGTAGTATGCAAAACTTTAAACTGCAATTATGCTTGGGTATATGAGCATACTTTATGAATGAAAATGGGTAGAGGCTCACCTCTTTGCCAAAAATGCATCAGCAAAAAATCCAACAGTTTAAAAAGAATGTTCCTCGTCCAGGGATTGCAAGGATTGATGGTATGTCACCCTCCACAGTACATAAAAAAATTCAAAAGATCCAGGGAACCCAGAGAAATATCTGTGTGCAAAGGAAAAGGCCGAAAACCACAACTGAATGTCTGTGACATCCGACCATTGAGACAACACTGTATTAAAAACCGGCATGTTTCTGTGATGGGGATCACCAAGTGGGCTCGAGAATACTTTGACTAACCGTTGTCAGTAAACAGTGTTCGCCGCTGCATTCACAGATGCAAGTTAAGACTGAACTACACACAGTGGAAGTCATACATCTAGAAACACTGTTGACTTCTCTGGGCTTGAGTTTTTCTGAAATGACTGATGCACAGTGGAAACGTACTGTGGTCTGATGAGTCAACCTTTCGGATTATTTATAAAAATAATGGATGTCATGATCTCTGGGGCAAAGAAGAAAAGGGCCATCCTGATTATGACATCCTGATGATGGGGGTGTAAGTGGAGAACTTGCCTGTGAAAGCACCATTAACACAGAACAGATGTTAGACCAACATGTACATGTACTGTGGAAGACGTCTTTTTCAGAGACCCCAATGCTTATTTCAGCATGACAACACCAGCCCACTTTCTGCATGTGCTGCAACAGCATGGCTGCGTAATCAGAGAGTGCAGGTACTAGTCTGGCCTTGCTACAGTCTAGAGCTCTCTCCCATTGAAGATATGAGTCCTATTAAGCTCAAAATATGACAACGAAGGCCCTGTATGGTTGCACAGCTGAAGACTTTCATAACAGCAAAATGGCAAAAAAATCTGCTTTCAAAACTGGATCAGTTTCTGTCTTCAGTCTCCAAATACATTTCAACTGTTGTTAAAAGGATAGGTGATGTAAGACAGTTGTAAACATGCTTCCGTCACAACTTTTTTTGGAACGTGTTGCTGGCATCATATTTGGAATGAAAAAAAAAAAACAATGAAATCCATAAGGTAAAATATCAAATACTATGTTTTTGTACCATTTTCAATTTAGTGCAGGTCAAACAGAACTTACTAAACACTGCTTTCTGTTTTTATTAGCATTTCACGTACTGTGTCAACTTTTTGGAATTGGGGCTGTAGAATCATTTTGTATATGTATCTGCAACCACATTGTTTTAATTTAATTAAAAACATAAACTTCAGACTTTGCTTATAGTAGCCACTTAAAGAATGTGGTAGACATGTACAGATCTTTGATGTAAACCATCTCTCATTTATGATCCACACGCAGCCCAACCCCTGCCGTCAAGTGGTTTAAGAACGGCGGGGATCTGCCGGAAAGGAAGGTGAAGTTTGAGAACTACAATAAAACTCTGCGTATCGTTTCTGTGTCAGAGGAGGACTTAGGAGACTACGTCTGCATGGCCAGTAATAAGATTGGCAGCATTCGCCACTCCATCTCAGTTCAAGTAAAAGGTCAGACTTAAAGCAAGTATATCTCTGATGTTTTGGCCTCCAGGCTTTACGTGATGCATGTTACTGTTGCAGGCCTACACAAAAAGAAAGAATATACTGAAGCTACTTGATTCAAATGTGTGCATCATTTTCACATGAACAAAACATACAACATAGATGTAATACAGAAGTCTGGGTGTTGAGATTCTTTTATGATACTGACCGAATTATTACAGTGTTATGAAAAATTCTGTTTTTCGGTACCAAATTTCTGTACCGAAGCAGTCAGTCTTACCAACATCCATGAGCCAATTAGCAAACTTGTTCTAAAATGTAGTCTGCTGATTGTCTGTCTAAAGTACTCTCTTTTCATATGCATAATGTGGTTAGCCTTCAGTCAGTTGCAGTCTGTAAATGTACCTGTTTCCAGCTATGGCTGAATGATTTGGGCAAAATATCTAACTGTGATTTTTCTGACCCATTTTGCAGTCCAGGCCGTTTTTTACAAATCCACTTGTTCTGGCTTGAAGCTTGGACACATAACGTAGTGGGCCACAGTGCCAGTTAGTTGTGGTTGTCATGTACACAGCACATGGATGTTTGGTTGCTTCGAATAGGTCTAAAGCTAACAGTATATTTTAGAGGAACCCAATGTCTTTTTGGCCAAAATGGTGATTACTAAACAGAACTCCTAATCGTTGTTTGTTCTGAGACCTCCACCTGACATTGATTGGTCCAAAACACCATGTTGGTTGTTCTGAGACCTTCCCCTGACAGTGATTAGTCCAAAAAGATAGATAGATAGAGATAGATAGATAGATAGAACTTTATTGATCCCGATGGGAAATTGCAGGACACAAATAACCATGTTGTTTGTTCTGGCTCTGGTTTCTTTTCACATGCTCTGTGTTATTAGGTTAAATTTGTTGAAACAGCGTTGTTGATAATCAAGGCTACAAAAATAACTGCAAATTGAAAGTTCCATGTTTTTAAATTGCAATTTCAATATAAAAACATTCATCTTTCTGCCCTACTTCCAGCACTCATTTCTAGTTTAAGCCAGACCCACTTTCCCCACTTTTTCTTTAAAAAAGTATGGAAAAAGTATCGTTCAGATGTCAAAATCAAGGTACTTGTATTGGTATTGAACAATTTTGAATGATGCCCATTCCTAGTGATATATTTCATTCATGTGAAAATTATATGATTGCATTACTCTTTTCAGAAATATATGATTCTTACTCTGTTTCTTTTTCATTTTCCCACAGCTGCTCCCTATTGGCTCAATAAGCCTACCAACCTGGTGCTTGCCCCAGGTGAGAATGGACAGCTGGTATGCCTAGCCAGTGGAAACCCTAAACCCAGCATCGAGTGGCTCGTAAATGGAGAGCCAATAGAGAGTGAGTCTGCCCCGCAAACCTTCCATTCATAACATAAGAGGATGCTACACTACATCACAACACATATTCAGGTGCCCAGTTTTGTGATATGTGTGTCTGTTTTCTGCATCTGAAACTGCAGGTTCACTGCCGAACCCGAGCAGGGATGTGGTAGGTGATGCAATCATCTTCAGGTCTGTGCAAATCAGCACCAGTGCTGTGTACCAGTGCAATGCCTCAAACGAACATGGATACCTGCTGGCCAATGCTTTCGTCAACATACTGGGTAACAAACTGCAAAGACAGTTCACAATGTAGTTCATATTCTTTTGCTCTTCTTACGTAGTGACATTTTATGTAGTGTTAGAGGGCCTTACCGCCACGCACAGTGCCTGCTTTAACTCCTCTTTCAGGTGAAGTAGAGCCTGGTAATAAGACCTGATGAACTCAATCATAAGCCACATTTGTAAAGAAGTGCATAGAGTAATTCGCATAGGGTTATAAAACATTCCTACACACGGAGAAATTCCTGAATCCTACCTAATCATATTTATTAATAACAAATCATTTTAAAATCATGCACATACATAAGAGCACATCCACCTGAAATATCTTTATATAGTGGGACTCAAAAGCAATATTAAAGTCCACCTGCAATCAAAGTTGACCTTTCTACCTTGTTAATTTAACTTAGCATGTGGCAGTGAGGGACAGGGATGCAGCCCCACTTTCTGCTCTAAAATGCATGGGAATGGCTAAATAAGGCCATCTATGGACTAAAACTCATTGTGTTTCAATACTGACATGAAAACGTGATTTTTTTTTATTAGAAGGCAGCTTGAACTAATTCGGTAGAGTGGTCTCTTTAAAATCAGTCAGATCAAATGTACATAAGTGTGAAATCTGATATCCCACAGATTATATAAATGAGCCCCCAGATGTTTTAGAACAGGCACAGATCCCAGAGTTCATTGCTGAAGACTTTTGGAGCTATGAGAGAAGAATGCTGATGCACAGCTGTGACTGAGCCAGGCCTGATGTTTTCTTTTACAGATATGGCACCTCGGTTGCTGGGCCCCAAGAACCAGCTGATTAAAGTGATTGAGAACCATCAAGCCTTCTTGGACTGCCCTTTCTTTGGTTCACCTTATCCAGACGTGCGCTGGTGAGCTCCAGACAGATTATTTAAAGGCTTAAGCCAGATGCCAGAGTCCAGCACACTTTGCTGCTCAAACACACCAACTAATCCTGGTAATTAACTGCGTAGTTGAATCAGGTGTGTTTGAGCAGGATAATAACCAAACAGTGCAAGAATAAGGCCCTCCAGTACCAGAATTGCTGACCCCAGCTTTAAAGTTTTGAGGTTTAACATACAGATGATTGCTTTATCGACTGAAAAACACTATCCCGTGTGTTCGTGGGTCCATCTAGGTTTAAGAATGGCCATGGCATCGTTCTGGACGGTGTAAAGTACAGGTTACATAATAACGGTACACTGGAGATCAAGCGGGCTCGACCTGAGGACCAGGGAACGTATACGTTCGTGGCCAGCAACATCCTGGGCAAGGCTGAGGATCAAGTCCGCTTGGAAGTCAAGGGTGAGAAATCCTCCTTTTATGCTATTATACTATTAAGCCTGTTCTATTTTAAAGCTGCACTATGTAAGGTTTGTTAGAATTAGAAGCAGTAGCATTACTGAGTAAGAAGGGGAAAAAGTGTGCATGCATTGCTGCAAGTCATTCTATAAAGCCTGAAATAGTAATTCAGAAGTCAGAGGTGTTGGGTAGGACTTGGTGGGATTTCAGAACATTTCATATGTATTTATATATTAAAGACACATATGCAGGCTCAGAAAAAAAAGTCCAGCTTGATTTTTAGGTCTCAAATGCAAAATCAACATTGCGCTGATGAAAATGTCATGACAACAGTAGCCTAGTTAACTTCAGCAAGTTTTGAGAACAAGAGTTCTCTTTGAATATTCTTTTGATGCTCTCATAATTATCAGATTTATTTGCTCATAATTCTGTTTATTATCTTTATATTGTCCACAAAACAGTCCACTTTGAAGTTACTGCTTCTGTGATGTCATGAAAACCAACATATTTACATATTTCTGCATATTCTGCGCACATCAGTTTAGCCCATTCATCCTAAAGTTACAGGAGCTAGTTTTTGAATGAGGCAAAATACAAGGCAGCCAGTCAGGACTATATATATATCTATATGTATATATATATCTCGATGCATCTTTTTTTCTATATAGCATTTATATTTTCTCACTGTGTGAGCTCAAGTTTCACATTCAAGTTTCAAGTTTATTTGTCATTTGCACATGTCAGGACATTTATGCATTGAAATGCTTGTGGTGAGGCTCAGCTAATCACTCTACAGAAAGTAAATAAGTAAAAATAAAAATACAAGAAAAACCAACTGAAATATATTAAATATACACACAATATACACAGAATATAGAGACAATATACATTTTAAAGTGACTAAGTGACTCGGTGTTATTGTTATTTAAAGTGACTTGGTACTTTTAAAGCAAAGTATTTGTAATGATCCATAATGAATTTACTTCCAATATCTTTTTTAATAAAACAAATGGAAGTGATGTGGCAAGTGAACTAGACGGCTCTCATTCAGTGCTCTGTACCTCTATTTCTTACAGTGTAATGTTCTTCATTAAAGGTGTTAAAGTATGTTATCTCTTCCAGAGCCAACACGAATAGTCCGGATCCCAGAGCACCTGTCTGCCAATCGTGGAAGCCTGGCTCGCTTTGACTGCAGAATCAAACACGACCACACACTCCCTGTCACAGTCAGCTGGTTCAAAGATGACAAGCCCCTCAGTTTTGGTTGGATGTATGGAAATACAGACTTCTTACACTACAGGTTATACAGTACTGTGCAAAAGTCTAAGGACCACCCCCCCCCAATTATTTTAGTTCCAGTGAAAACAGCTGTTATTCATATTCATGATCCCAAACACATTAAGTGATGTTGAGTCTGGACACTGGGCCCAGGTCCTTGTTCTGAACACCAGCAGCTTCTTGGAAGATTTGCAAATTTTCCTATTTTTGTCCATTTCCTACTCTTGACAGCTATGCATCCTTTCAGACTTCCATACCAGAACTGTTATGACTGGACTTTAAATAAATGAAGGGTGTTCTCTGATTTTTGCACAATACTGTAAACCCAGTTCTTTTTTTTCATTGCTTGTATTGTGCATCATATGTTTATTTTAAATGTAACTAAAAATGTGTATGCTGCATTTAGGAGCAAGTATAAGAAGGACGAGGACTCAATGTCGATCCCCAACATCCACAGTGACGATGAGGGAACCTACACATGCACAGTCACAACAGAGTTAGATCAAGATTCTGCCTCTGCCCGCCTTACTGTATTGGGTACATGCCCACACACATGCACACACACATGCTCATACACATGCACACACACACACGCACTCACACATTTACACACACAGAAACCTATATGCATGCTCATACATATACTCACGCACATGTATTCCTGTACACCTGCACAGAAACACACTGACAAATCTAGTGCAGAGTCATACACTGTTCCCTTATGCACAGAATGCTTATTCTGTTGCTTTAATGTTTACTCACACTCCTCACACTTCTCTTAGACTTTAACATACATTACTGTGGATATTGCCATGTGTAACTCAATATCCAATGGCCAATATCCATGATGTTCAACCTAAACTGTGTATGTACTTCCTTTTGTACTTTAAGAATATCTGTTTTCTTCTAGTTCATAGACAATGCTGTAGTGTTCAACATGACATATAGTAGGGATGTCCTGATACATTCCAAATGAGTCCATCCAGGCATATTATTACAGCTTTTCAAACTGGATCTAATTCCAGTCCCCGTTCTTTTGCGTTTTATGCCATGGAAATGGGCATTATTCGAAACCTGAAAACAAACAAACAAAAAAAACTTAAGAAGTTCTCAAATATTCCCTGAAGAAAGTTTTATTTATTAAAAAATTTTAATTGTTTTCGCATGTAGGCTGTAGGTCATTAGTCATGTAGACCATTAATATCATGTTAGATTTTACAGACTACCAGAAATTATACCATTGCCTTTATTTCCATTAGCAGCTCACATCAGGCCCCTAGTACAGCAAAATAAAGGTAAAACAAAGACAAACCATACATTCAACAAAATCACTAAAGGTGAGGAAATAGCTGACTGGAAAATCGTCCTTGTATATACATTTATATATATATACATATATATCATATAACTGTAAAAATCATCAGAAGTTACAGTTTAAGAAGTTTGCCCTTTTAATACTTACAGTCTAGGACAAGAATGAGACCGTTGTGAGGTTAAGAAGATATGTAAGAATGTACCACATGTAATTGTCCTTAAGAGAGACGTTAAGAAAGAAATTAAGAAAATTTTAGGATTTTTTTTGAAGAATAAAATTATATCTCAGCTTTTTTCTGTAGTATGTAGGAAATTTTTCTTTCTTAAGATACTTGTGAATCTGTTCCCTGGTTTCTGCCACATTGTTCTGTGAACAATTCTGACTTGGTAAGTTTCTCTAGAACAGCACATTTCTAATCAAACCAATTATGCTGTAATTTTATAAAATCAGTGGAATTCCTCTTACTCGGATCAGATTAGGAGCAAAAAAAATGGATCGGGACATCCCTCGCATATAGTGCATGTCTGTTCAATGCTTGACTCACTGTCTACAGTCAGTATTTGGTGTTGCTTTGTAGTTTGGTTGCCCACTTAGCTCAATAGCATAGTCACTAAACATTTGAGTGTTTAATCACTTTACTAATAGACTGACTAACCATTAACGTTTCATATTTGACCTCACAGAGGATGATTCCCTGTCTCCCTCAAAACCTAGTGCCTTCGCAGGTAACATGACCTTCCTCTGTGCTCTCACACAATGTATGAGTTGTTTTTTTTTTAATGACTGAATGACTAGTGTGACTCTGCAGGCGTTATTGTATCTACTATTTGATTTATCTACTGCAAAACTGCTGTAAATTGTAATTTAAATCTTTTACATTTGAAAGCATACTATTTAAGATAAGTACACATCCTCTAGGGGTGTTACTATACACACATCAATATTCATTTGAGGAAAAAAACGCACAGTGTGTACTGAAATGTATTTCTTCTGCGAAAACTGCTTGTTTGTATTAATTATGCTTTCACAAGGCACTGCATTCTTGATGTGACAGATTCACTTGTACCCAAAAAATGAAGGCTTGCATTTCTGTCTTGATGCTGTATCAAAAATTGTATCATATCATGGTGCAAATGTGTACACAATACACATTGTATCATGAAATTTGTGTTTTGTTATACCCCTAACATACTCCTATGACATATACTGTACATGGTTGTTTGCACTAGGGCTCCACGATATTTACAAAATATTAGAATTACATTAAAAAACTGCATTGGTTAATTAAACTGCATTGGTTAATTAATAATGCAACGTGGTTAAAGAGATTCGACAAAGTAATTGACTTCTATTACATTACATGAATACATTAATTCCTTAAAAACACCCACAAAACTCACCTGGAACTGTAAACACAAAGTAAAAAAAGATTGTAACTAATTAGAGCCTCATTTGCATATAACAGCCTTTTGTGATATCAATATTGCAAAGGCAAATATTACTATAACAATTAGCAAACAAAATAGCAGTGGCTGGTATACCAGCATTAGGTTTGTCATACCAGATGTAAGACATTACAGTAATATGTGAAAGGAATGGCCTGTCTCTTTGGGTTAACCTTTAGCCTAACATGGACACCAGACTACTTGCTGCTCCTCTGTTTTCTCTTGCACTGTCTGCAGTGTCACTTCCCTTGTTTATCTGCTCTAGACGAAGCTGCATTTTTAGGGCCTGATTCTCTAGACAAGCCTAAGCTCTGGTACTGTTAGCATGAATGACATAATATTCACCAAATATGGCATTGTTTGATGGTAGTAGATGTAATCGCACGTCTTGAATGCACATATGAGGCAAATGACTTGAAAAATTCAGACATAAAACAACATTTAATACCATTTTGGCCATGTCCAGAGAAGCATGCTTAAACATAGGGTTAAAGTTACAAAACACTTTTGACTTAAGTTTATCTATATAGTGTTCAGTTCTGTTTTTACGACTTTGCACATTAAAATCTTCCCGATTTACTTTAGTTGTTAAATATGGTTCTTATTAAAAGTAAATGGACATCAGAGAATAATAATAGAGCACTGTTAACTGTAAAATAATAATAGAGCACTGTTAACTCCCCTAAGCAAGCTGTCTCTCTGTGCTGAGATACATCACGTTTGCTTATAGATGTGCTGTGTTTCTTCTAGATCGTCCTGATCCTCCTGAGGACCTGGAGCTCTCTGACCTATCAGCGCGCTCTGTCCGCCTCACCTGGGTCCCTGGCAATGAAAACAACAGCCCTGTCACCCGTACGGTTCTCGCCAGTGCATCGCACACACATGCACATTTCATGTGCATATTGTGTTCTTAAAAGAAAACTTGAATACTCATAACTAGAACATAACTATAGATTTTGGGATTCATTTGCCTTGTTCCTTGTTCTTGTTCCATCTTAACAGAATTCCTTGTTCAATATGAAGAGAACCGGTGGAGACCAGGTGAATGGCAAAATCTGTCCAGTTATGCAGGCGACCAGAACTCAGTGATCCTGCAGCTGTCTCCCTTTGTGAATTACCAGTTCCGAGTAATCGCAATTAACAGCGTGGGCCAAAGCCGCCCCAGCCTCCCCTCAACCCGCTACCAGACCAGCGGAGCTCGTAAGTGGCTTAGGGCAAGGGCAGTAATTAAAGGCAAATGCCTCAGTGAGAAAGGAGAAAGCTTCTTAACTACGAGCACCATGCATTATCGAGCATTATCGAATGTGCGTTACATTCATTATGGACTTCATAATGGACACGAGCATTTAGCTGAGGCTTTGATCCTGTGTATATCTATGAGGATATTTATAAGTCTGGATGCTAAAGGAAAGGTCTGTGTTTTTCAGCCCCTGATGTTGCCCCTAGTGGCCTTAAAGGGTGGGGCACCAGAAAGACCAACATGGAGATCACTTGGCAGGTAATAACTGGTTTAGTTTCTATTCCAATCATGTTTTCGCCCTGATCTGAGTCCGAACCATCCAGTATTAATTATCTACTGATATAAAGGATGACATTTTCATCAGTAATACAAGATTTTACTGATGAGGCATTAATCCTGGACTATGTTTTTATTCAGAGGAGAATCTTCATTCAAAATGCTACTTAGTCCAGGACTGACTGGGAAAGTGACCCACTGCCAACTTCAGATACATTAAAATGGCTAAATCCAATCAATTTAGACAAGACATGCTAGGCCACCAAATGGTCTAAAGTGTAAAATACTGCTTTACTTGAGCGTCACATTGCAGACATTTAACCGCATGTGAAAATCATTTTACAACCACAAGTTGTGGATAATGGTTTTTACATCGCTTCTATGACAGTTGCATAAATACTTATGGTGGTTTAGCTAATCTTTTTTTTGTCAAACTTAATGTATGCAACTGTGCTCCCAGCCCCTATTGGACACACAAAGGAATGGACCTGAGCTACGTTATGTTGTATCATGGAGGAGGAAAGACCATGAGGAGGAGTGGAATAATGTAACCACCACCAGTACAAAGCACGTGGTCAGGGATACAGAGACGTATGTCCCCTACGAGATCAAAATCCAGGCAGTCAATGACTTTGGACGAGGCCCCGAATCAAACATAGTCATTGGTCACTCAGGAGAGGACAGTAAGTACCAGCATTTGAATGTATGTTCACCTCTGAATACACGTTTCACCTTCTTTTTCACTCCTTGTATGTATTCCTGTCTTTTTTCTTAGAGCCCTCTGCTGCCCCTGCTGACCTCAGGGTGTCAAAGATCGACAGCACCAAAGTGAACGTGCACTGGGTTCCTGTCGACCCCAGCAACATTCACGGAGAGTTTAAAGAGTACAGAGTGAGTTCTTACATTAGTTACACGTTTAGTCTTCAAAGTTGTGTACACTTAAATCTGTTGGTAAGCTGAGCGTACGCAAATTTCCTCCTACATTCATAAATCTTAAAGTCAGAGGTGTCGAATCAGATTTTGAAGGAGTTTTTCAGACAATGTCATACCTCTCTATGTAGTAACATCACACACACAGCCTCCAAAAAAGGCTTCCACACATTGCATGCAATTATACATTTTCACCAGAGAAGTCTCCAAATCCCCAAATGTTACATAGTGCAGCTTTAATGAAATTAAACTTTCAACATTTTTACATTTGGCAATGGCACCACCGGTCTGCATAGCTTCTTTACAAACAATGTTAAAACAGATTATTTGTTAAGATTTGTTTAGATTTTGCCAATTCACTGTAGACCTGTTCTGTTTTTTGCTTTTTTTTGGTCAAATATGGTCAATAAAGAGAAAAGAAAAGAATAAAAGAGAAAAAAAGAAACTGAAAAAAATCACACAACTGTCAAAGAGTGTAAAAGAAAACTAATAATTCAGTGTGAACATTGTCAACATGTAATTTGTAAATATGAATTGGAATTTGCATACTTGGATCTAATTTTAATTTAGCAGTCCTGGAAGACCTCACTATGTCAGTATTTTAACCAAAGATACAGGAACAGTGTGGACCATTTGTAATAGTAACTCAAAGAGAAGTTGGTTGATCTAATGTGTCGACATTAAGGCCATTTAGGGTGTGCTTTGATACAGCCCAAATACTGAGACCTTAAAGGCTGCCAAATCAGAGAAGTGGAACGGTAGTTTGAGGAGGATTAAAGACTTGTGTGCTTATTTGAGCTGGATCGGTACCACCTTCCAGTTGCGTACATTTGATGCGGTTCTACAGCATTAACAGTCGCAGTTCCAGCAAGATCAAAAGCATGCCAGTGGCATTTGGACCAGATCAAAGGGGTAAACAGTCTTCCACATTTCTTGTCTGCTCTCTCAGCTGTACTATTGGAGGGAGGCCAGCCTGGTGAAGGGTCTGAGGGTGACCAAAGAGAAGAAGACGAAAGGTTTCTACAGTGATGTGTCTCAGAACACTGGCATCCTTACTGATCTAATCCCTTATAGCAAATACAGCATGTACATGGTCGTAGCCAACAGTAAATTCGAGGGACCACACAGCAAAATAGTGGAGTTTGAGACCAAGGAAGGCGGTAGGAGATTTCTTCATACTACTACATTTTTTAACCTGATGTCTATAAGCTGCATTTGCAGCATACAGTTGCTTACCCTGTATGATAATTTCAGTATGTATCTCTGTACTTGTATGTGAACACATTTTTGCACATCTGAATGCACAGTTACTGTTAATCTGCTGAATTTAAAATATTGTGGAAAAAATAAAACCTAAAATGTGGCCTGTACAAATGTTATGGCACTTTGTATAAAGTATGTTTTTTTCAGTATGTTAAACTCAGCAAATAAATTCAAATTGTGCATCAAAATGTGCAGGAAAAAATGCCATTAAGTCAGTTCCCTGTAAAAGATTTGGTCACTTACTTTCGCTTAGAAAATCTACAAAGCATGTAATTTGACCAGGGATATTCAAACTTTTGCATGCAACTGTACAATAGAAGCCAGTAAGTAGTCACTGATTTCTGTCAGTAAACATTGCACATTATGATGATTTCTTAAATCAAAGGCATTAAGTACATTAAGCTGTAAATCTGTATAATTCATTCTTTAACTGAATGGACTAATGTTCCATTGGAATTGAAGTGAATGACACTGGATTTTATTGTGTTGTTCCAGTGTTTGAAAGTTGAATAAGAACATTTTAATGGAGTATCATGTATTTGCTGGAGTATTCTTTTAATATTTGTTCTATTTCAGTAGAACTGTCTGTTGTTATTGTCACAAACCCTGAAGTTTTGTGCCTGAATAATAAGATTCTGTTGTAACTCATCAATAGTGCCAGGGGCTCCAAAGTTCTTCAAAATTGTTCAGAGGAACACAGACACCATTCACCTGGAGTGGGACAAGCCTCTTGAGCCGAACGGCATTCTGATCGGATACACACTCAAGTATAATACAGGTCAGCGCACTTTACATCTGAAAAGTCTGTCCATGTCCATGCACAGTGAGAAGCTTTTATTTGTAGCTCCATGTAAAGCAGGATGGTACAGGTGTATTCCTGGAGATACACTTTATTTCTATTAGTCCCACTACTACTCTGAGCACACCTGACTAAATAATGCAAAGCCTTCTTTTGAAAATGAATGCTAGGTTTGTTAAATACAGCTAAAACAAAAAGTATCCACGCCAATGAAAAGGAATTCAGGATTAAATAACCTCATCTACTACACCTAGTAGTATATCATTATATTATATATATATATATATATATATATATATATATATATATATATATATACTGTTAAGATATCATGTTGCCCACCTCTACTATAACCACCATCTTTAAAATAAAGGTTCTACTTTTGGTTCCCAAGAGATGTACAAGAACAATTTTAAAGTTAAAAGAAAGATGTAAAGAACAATTTTAAAGTTAAAAGAACCTTCATATAGTGTACAGATTCTGTCAGTTTTTGATACATTCAAGCCAGCAACCTGTTAGGAACATTTATTTTGAAGAGTGTATAATTGGCTGTAAAAAGGTAAGGTAACTGTGTAAGTGTTTATTTATAGTGCACATATAAAAGTAAAGTGCTGCACAGATGATGCATAAAGCTTATAAAACATAGAACAAAATAATAAAAAATAAAATAAACAACAATACAAAAATAATGACAGACATCCAGTTCAGTTTCTTGTTTTTAGGAAGAGGAATGACAAATTAATTCCTCATCAGCAGTGATTGGTGCTCTTTTTCCTAATTTTCCTACATTATATTTGTTGATCTTCTAGTTAATGGGACACAGGTGGGCAGTCAGCAAGTTCAGAGCTTCTTCCCCAACGAGACAGAATATACAATTCGTCTGCCCGACCGCTTCACCCGCTACAAGTTCTACCTGTCTGCTCGGACGCAGGTTGGCGCTGGAGAGGTCTATGCTGAGGAGTCGCCTCACTTTGCCAATGAAGGTGAGTTAATACATATGTATGCCACTGACTGTGCCCTTTGTCACTTGCATTGGTTGTCAGTGCTGTAACATTTGAGAAACCCTGTGTTACAGTGATTTAATGACTGTTAGGCATACTTTTAGTAGAATGAGAAGCAGGGACAAATTACAATATGATAAAATACACCAGTGTTCAAAGGATAATTTAATGTAGTATTAAGAATAATTGCAACAAATAATTCTCCTACCAGGGTAGTGCATTAACAGTAGACTGTGTTTGCCAACCAACATAACAGTTAAAGATTATTTTATTAACAGTACAGTGGGTTTTAACAAGGGCTGTAGTCAGGAACACCTTTGTTGGTCCAAGACAAGTCCAAAGGCAAATGAAAGCGAGACCAAGTCCAAAGAAGACCAAGACCAGGTCAAGATCAAAACCCAAAGTCCTCTTAAAGCCTTAGTCTTTTTCTGCTTAAAGTACAAATTACTGGAAAATTAAAAGGAGAGATTTTCTTTCCACAAAACAAAACTGTACGTAAATAACTCATTAAATTCAAATCATAATAGAATATCTTCTTTTCTACTTAGAAACACAAGTATGCTATGGACTGAAAGCCTGCTCTGAATGAATGCAACCGCTACCTGTTTTAAAAGAATGCAGCTAATTCCTGCTCTAAATAAATCCAGCCAGGTCCTGCTCTGAATGTGGTGAGGTTAGAGGTTATTTCTCACATTGAATAGTTTAATGGATTTCACAAAGAGCTGCTTTAGAGCGAGTCAGCAGACGTTAGTGACAGTTAAATTAAAATAATTTTTAAATGGCTCAAATAGGAAAAAGCAATATATATATTTTTTAAATTAAGAAATGATGTTGACTCATCTGAGATTGGACTCAAGTACTACAGCTCTTTTTTAAACAGAATTCAGTTGTGTGTGGTCATATATGGGGTCATCTAATTTTACAACTGTCCAATTTATCGAGTTGTTTAACCCAAAGTTACTTTATTTGTAGAGCATATAATTTATTTTTGGACATGTTATAGCTCACTTTAATTCACTAACATTTGCCATTGTTAATAGTAATGGTAGCAAGTATTGTTTAGCCCTGCTAGATAAGCCAGCATAGACCGTCATGGTTAGTCACCTGCAAAACCAGCATATGTTGTGTTTTGTTTGCTGGTATCATGCTGGGTGACCAGCTAAACCAGTACCAGACCATCATAAACCAGCTGTTTTTTTCAGAAGGGAGGTTATAGCTAACCAGCTTGCTAACTAGCTTGCTAATTTTAGGTAATGTTAATAGTAACTGGGTTTGTTTAGGTTATAGCTAATTTTAGCTTGCTAACTTTTGTTAATTTTCTTAGTCACTGGGATTGTTTGGGTTGTAGGTAACTTTAGCTTGCTAACGTTCATTTTAATGGCAACCGGTGTTGTAAAGTTAGCTAACCGTTAGCTTAGGCTTGTCTCATGCAGTAATAGGATTTGTAGTCCGTAGTGCTAATTTGAGACACAGGGACAGTGTTAAAACACTTTTTTACATGTTATCAAGGTGCTTCTGCTACAAAGCTGTATCAAATTTCAGTACAGGAGCACAGGCTCAGTGGCATTTATGAGACTAAGTGTTTCAGCTTGTTTAAAAAAGGAATTAGACGAGAGCTTTGTAAAAGACGTCTCCTGAGACACAGCTTTGCTCTGGTCTATTGAACAGAGGCGTCTTTTGTAATACTGAAACCTTATGAAGAACGCCTTTGACTGGACGCTGAAGTTATCGCCAGGCCATCTTTCTAGGTCAGCCTAGCTCAGTCGCCACTGTTTACTGTTGCTAGGAGCAGCAAGTGGATCAGTCGCTGAGAGCACAACCACCCAGTGTTCTTGTCTGTGGTCCTGTCTGTCATTTCCCTTCTGTCTTGTGTGAGAAGCACTCTTTCTGTCTCTCTCTCTTTATCTCTGTCCCTTTTTCTTGTAGCTTGCTTGCCATTTTGTGGTTCTAACTCTGCCTTTTGTGGTTTTCTCTCTCAGCCTTTTTGATTTCTTTGTTTTCTTTTGTTCCCTGCCCTGACCTGTCCTCTTTTCCTCCTTCCTCTCCTGTCTATCTTTCTTTCTATCTCTCCCTCCCTCGGTGTGAAAGAAGACTTTATCACTTCAGGTACTGACTCTGCAGGTGTAGGTAATGAGGAGGTGCCTGCCTGCCTGACTGTCTGCCTGTCTGTCTGTCCCTCTGTCTGTCTGTTCATCCTCTGCAACAGTGCAGTTCAGTGCTTAATACCTAAGGAAGGGTTGATTACCAACCCTGAACTGATACAGATAAATATGATATCAGGATTTAAGGCTGCACAATATGGACGAAATATGAGATTGCGATTGCCTCGTGCCTTCCATCTTATAAAAAGTGGTTCTTCAAAGGTTTTTTTAGTAAAGGTGAAGGTTTTATATAGCAGCTTATACAGCTTTATATACCAGTATATATAAACGAATTTATGCAGCACAGTTATGAAAAGATCTAAACTGCACTGTCTACTAATAGCTGTCTTTCAGTACGTCTGTCTGTCCATCTGTCCTGGTCCATATCACTGTGTGCTTTCAGGGATGGGACACGTGTTACTACACTGCTGTTATTGCTTACTGACACTTAGTTAGATGAAAGCTGTTACACTACTTACAGTTTAGTTCAGTTTAGGTTTTTCTGCTTGAGGGCTTCACTTATTACTGTGTAGGTACATTTATGAATGGGTTCTGGATTTATTAAGATAAGATCAGTAATGTCCTTTGTTTTCTTATTCTGTATCGTTTGATTTCCGATCCCTGATGGCACCCTGCCACCTTTGCCCCAGCATCCCTTCCTGTCACATGCCCCCTTTGGACGACCCCAGCATGCTATTCGGATTTCGCCATTAACCCTTAGAAGTCCAGGTGTTACTTTTGTTTTTCTATACACTTCAAACATAATTACATGGTTGCATATTTAAATACATGGTTTATTACGCAATTACATTCACATTCGATTTAGCAGGTTTTAATCTGCAATTTTGACCTCAGTTAGTTTTGGTGACAAAAATGGATGTTTTTTTCTCTCTGCAAAATTAGACTGTACACACAACAGTAACTTTTCATTCAATTCAAATTGTGCTCAATTGTCTACTTACTAAATATCTACTAAAGTGGTATCGGGTGAAAGTTTAATGATCTTAATGATCTAAATGCGAGAAATATTTAATTCTGAATTATACCCTACTCTTCGAAAATTGCAACTTCTAAGGGTTAAACATGCAGGTAAGTGATGTTTTTATAAACGGGTGGCACTTAAATGTTTAAGAAACAGATCTCTTTTAGTAATCCCTGTTGCCTGGCAACAAGGTGTATTAGTGTTGAGCAATAATCTTTTGGAGGGGGGTTAAGAGTGCCACCAGCAATGTTATACAATCATCACAATTACCTTGGAGGAGCATTGGAGGTTTATCCTCTTATGAAAGACTCACTAAACTGATTCGCTTCAGAGGCTTTGAGGAGCCTGATTTGGTTTCCCATCACCTTGAGGTTTGAGCATGCAGCCTGGAACTTCCTCTGGAGAAGTTTAGGAAATGTCCATTTGTCACGCTGATATCAGTCCATAAAGAGGCTGGCCACATCTCATTCACTGCTCACGCCATTCACCGCTAACGCTTGCGCTTCTGCCACCTCTTTTGATTACTTTTTTGCTCTGGCCTGTTTTGTGGTTGCCCATGTTCTTTGTCGCCCATATGGATACTGCAGGTAAGAGCGCACCAAGCTGCTTGCCGGTTGACCGTTTGAAATGGACAGTCCACATTCACTGGAACTTGGTGGAAAGCATCTCCACCAGCTTGTCTCTCTCTTGGTTTGGCAAGACCACAGAGCTGAGAGGGGCTTTCCTCTTGCAGGCATAACCTTGGCCATTAAGGGCTTTTTAGCACCCTGCTAGCTGTTCTTATGTCACTCACATATCATCCTTTGCCTGTCGATTGGTTCTGGTGAGATGCTCAAGCTCTGTTTTGGTGCATATTTTGTGGGGCTGCCTTTGCATGAATTGGGAAAATGGAAGGTTATGGTACTGTGAAGTGGCTTTGTTTCTAAGGACTTCAGGTGAAGATAAGAAGGTATAAGACTGTCTATTCTGTTTTAATTGTCCGTTATTCACTATGTTATTTTAACATAATGTGAAGTAAAGAGGATCTCTATTCTTGCATTGTTACAGTACAGTTTATGGTGGTGGATGTGTTTCCACTGATGGATTTCCCACAATTCCATTTGCTGTCAAGTTAGAATAGAATAAGGAATGGATATTTAAAACAGATGACCGCTTGGTGGCACTGTTGTGCAGTGTGAACAACTATCTACTTGAAAGACAAGGATGAATTTACTCTTAAATTGTATGCCAAAACCTAAACCCAGACACACATAGTATGATTGAAACCATTTTTGAACCTGTACAGCCAAAGCCTACAATGTATATGCTCAGACGGTACAAAAATAATTGGCCCGATTGACATGCGACGATGTGAGTGCTCTCACTGTATGCAAAACACAACCACTATGTACATTTCTGTTCACTGACAAAGATAATTACGTTCATTAAAACCGTATGACCCTATGTCCTGAGTACCCAGCAAAAAACATTGAGAAACAAGCAAGCAGCTTTGTGCCATCATTTGCAATCAGTCTCAAACAAGGAAAAAAAAGACAGACTGTGTTTATTTTGTTTTTTTTGACAAGGGTCTATCGAGTGAAATTTTCTTAATTCACTTTGTGAATTTATCAGCTGGTTGAAATCAGACTAATAGGCTAGAAAAGGCACAAAACCACTTATTATTATTCTTATTCTTGTTCCATACTGATACCAATATTAACTCACATACCAATATTAACAGTTTGCATTTTTGATATAAAAGTGATTAATCTTACAGCCCTGATATAATACTATAGCATAATAGCATACTATCTCTACTACCCCACAGAAAGAAATACACAGCTAACAGTATGACATCACACAATGTGTGTTTGTACACTATTTCAGGCTAGAGTTGTTTCAGGATTCTATCAGATTCATTCTTTTTCATCCAATCCAGCATTTTCAGATATCGGGCCATTACCGATACCCATTGATGATAACAATATGCCATCTCTGTAATATGCCTTTCAGTATGTTACGGTAAATAACCAAGGCTATCTGCAGTGTACAGCTTCAGAAATCTCATTGGTCCTCATTTATCAAAGTTGCATATGGTCATGTCTGATTGTAAAATGAGTGCACACAAATTTCACCTAAATTCTTTTATTCTTTTATTGGCTCACTATTGAAACATCAGCATGAATTAGGGCATACTTCATGTAAATTATATGTATATGAGGGCAAATTGGGGCATGTCTGTTGCAAATGACATGCAAATAAGGTACTTGTGCGCTGGTTTCCACGCACTGAATCAGACACAGTTTGTACGTCATTCAGGACGGTTAGATCTGTGCTCATTCCTACACAGCTTAGATGAATACGGGCCATTATGACTTTCAGTTCATGAGACTGTTAAAACTGCAAGACAGCCAACTATGATACATCCAGTCATCTGACAGCTCAGTTGGACGCCATTTGAACAGTTAATCGGGACCCTCACAAAATTTGCCAGATTCTGAAGATTATTCGAAACACACTCATACTGTGTTTATCTAAAGTTGTGGGAATTCTATCCAACATCACAGTCCATGCTCATTCTCTTTATTATCTCTGTTCATGTTGTGGTGCCGCTATATAGGCTTTGTTGTTGTGCTTAACTACTACTCTCTTCCTCTCTCAGTGATTGATTCTACAGATGCCTTGGTGTTTGCAACTCCTCCTCCCCCTCTTCCCCCAACCACTGTCCCGACTACAACCATTAGTACCTCAACAACTACTACCATTGCCCCTACTACTGCTGCTACCCCCACTACTCCTGCTCCAACTACTGCAACAACTCCAACTACAACCACCACTACTACCTCCAGCACTACAACTCTCCCTACCCCACCTTTCACCATCAAGCGGGTGGATATGAACATGCTGGGTATTTCCTCAGACATCACCAATTTGTCACTGTACAAGACCAAGTTAAATATAAATGGAAGTAGCAGTTAAGAGCTAAGGAGAGTTAAGCTGGACCCCGCTGTTGATTTATTCATAGCATAGACACCCTGTCTAGCTAAAGTGGCCATTTTTGACAGGGACTTGACTGATGTTTGCCCCATACCCTTAAGAAGGCACTTTCCCCAAATTAGTATTGACATTGATACGAATTTGTATCGACAGTAGCATCCAATTAGCTTGTTATTGTTTTATGAGATTAAAAGACTCTCGCTAGAGAATTTGATTGTGGGGCTTAGAGGAGACTCTGACGCATAAAAGGAAAACATTAAAGTTATGTAGCTCTAATGTGCTGATGTAGTAAGTATTAGCCCTTGATGTTGCCTGTGGTTGAGAATTGTAAAATGTACTCCTCTCCCACCTGTTCTGCTTAGCCCCGCATATAAAGATCTGGAATCTGACCGTGGATGCTAACAGTGACTATGCTAACGTCAGCTGGAAGCACAACTTCCCTGTTGACAGCAGCGAGTTTGTGCTAGAGTTCACACTGGACAGTAAGACCCAGACACACTTGCTGAGGGCTTGTGAAGGGAACGCTTGTGCTTTTGATAGGGCTTGCTGGAGACCCAAATCATCCCAGTATAACAGACCCAGTCTCAGGATATGAACACTTACACGGAGCGCTAGTTTACCAAACAGTTTACTGCCGAAACTTGTGCTATATACCAATACCCATAGACATCGCTGTGAGCCCCAGCTACTTTTATGCTATGATAAAAAGTGAGCTACATGTTGTGCTGAATGATGAAACATTCATCATATCGCTCAGCTACAAGCAGAGTGGCTCTGCAAGTTGTTCACATCCTTTTTGTATGATGATACTGATAGATATTCCTCCCAGACACTTTTGGAAAGAACAAAGGCACTGCTCCGTTTTATCTAGCATCTCCGAGGGATGAAATGAGCCTGCCATTGTGTCTCCTGTGGGGTTCGGTTTTGTGTCCTCAGCAGTCCTTGAAGTTCCCTTTAGGAAGCTCCTGTTCTCTCTGGTGGCTTGCAGGAACAGGGAGAGATTGGAGTAAAAAATTTGAGAGGGAGAGAGAGCGGTTGAAAATGAGAGAGAAGACAAGAGCCTCTTGTGTAACTAGCATTGGATTGAAGGTCATTTTGAAACATTGAGTAGGGATCAAAATGACATAACAGCTCCAATCTTCATTACACCACAGGCTTTACACTCAAAACATTTTTCTTGCCTATTCCTCTAATGGCTAGATATTAGCTTTAGCTTTTTACCTTTCTGCCTAATGCACAGGCGAAGTCTGGTAACTACATTAAGTAAATGCCATATTCTGTTAATGGCTTTTTGTATTTCGTTTGGTGATTATGATGTACTGCTAAAGCATATCTATGTTTTGCAGCCACAAAGTCAAAAAGCTTTTCTTTATAATTAGCCTGTTGAAAAAGAATTAGAGGCATTTAGCATTGGCTGGCCAATGGCTAACAACAATCTCCCTCTGTTTTGCGCTCTCCCTTTCTCTCTTTCTTTCTCTTTCTCTCTTTCTTGTCTTCCATTTATCTATATTTATCATCATCATTGGATCGATCATCATTATCTGCCCCAACCCCCATGTGCCTTTTATGCTAATATCCTTATTCGGCTGCCCCACTACTGATTAGCTTGCCTCACAGTTGCTAGTCAGTGAGCAGTTTGCATGAGCCTGGCTGGCACATCCTGATGTACATCTCAAACTTCTGCTGTCTCTTTCTGGGCCTGGCTAGTAGATGTTTTTCGGGCAGAGGGATAATGAGGGGGTTAATGTATCCAGCCCAGGGTCATCTCTATGGGGCTTCATCATCATGTCCTCAACCTTGAATCATGCGCTCAAGGGCACAGTGATGCAATCACACTCTGTGATAGTGTAAAAGCCGGCCAGCTAGAGGTTTATAAAATATGAACCCACTGTGCTGTGCATAGAGGAGCAGAGGGATAGATTGGATATCATGGAACTGCATCAGGTCAACACAAGCTCACACAGATACGCAGACAGGCACAGTATAAAGGAGCCTTGGCACGGACATGTCTCCTAACAACACAGGATATTGATTCAATCCTGCCCTCCTTCTCTCTCTCTCTCTGCCCAGAGAAGTAGCTGGCTGCCGCATGCTCTGTGTGTGTGCTGCGCTGTTTGATAGAGCGTGAGGCTGGAAAGGAAAATTTTTGATCTGATGGTACTTTAAGGGGTTCAGTAACTCTTTATTTGGATTGCTCCTTTTATATGTTTTGATGATACTTCCCTGGCATCTAACTAAATGTCTCCTAAATTCACCTTAATTGTTCCCAACCCTAAACTTTAACAATAACCTAGTCTCGCACGTCCAGACATGATCTCCACCATGAGCAACTTCCATATTTTTCTGGAATGTCCCTTCACTTTTAATAAGAACCATATTTAACAACTAAAGCAAATCTAAAATTATTTTTTAAGGCACTTGTTTATGTGTTTATTTGTTGCATACTAGTATAAAGAGAAGGGAAAAACTGTTCCATTAGCTAAGGATGTGCTAATTTATAGTGTTTCACTATTTAACGATTGAACTCTAGAAGGTAAAAGAGCCCAGACTAGAGGAATCTGGGGTGTGTTTTAGAGGGGCTGTACCCTTGTTAGCGGTAGATTTTGCTGCAGTCCAGCACCAAAAGTATAACAAGTTGTCCCCAGTCGAGTATTATCTTTATGAGATCAGATCTGGCCCTGCAAGACTAACTCTAACCTTAACCTCAACCCAAAACCTAACGCTAACCCCAGCCCTAAACCTAAACCCAGTACTAATCCTAACCCTAACACTGTTGAGTTTGACCACATAGTTTGTTAACAATTTGAACATCTTTTGCTAATCTGTAGGAGGCTGTCCAAATAAAGTGGGGCTGAAGTTTCTCTTTATTATGCAGAACAAAATCTCAGACATTCTGTAGTAATCACAGTAATTGCACTGTGCACTTTTTTTCAAGACACTGCTGTAATTATATACACTATGTATTCTATCTTCACCAGTACAATGGCAGAGACAATGAGGAAAATTACTTTTTGATGCTGAGATTTTTTCTCCATTAAGTTTTTCAAAAAGTTAAAGCTACAAATGATACACCAAGATGCTGAGATAATGTGTCTCAGCTGTCCTCTTTGTGTCATTCACTATGTAGCTTAAGCTAACCGTCACAAACGCCCATGCGGTGCTTTGCAGGAAAGGCTGTGGTCAGCTCTTAACAATAAAGGTGCCAAAAAGGGTTATTTTGAGTGATGCCATAGAAGAACCAATTTTGGTTCCCTAAAGAACCTTTCAATTTATGTTTCTGTTATGTGTGTGAGTGTGAAGAACCTTTAATATTTAATATTTTATTATTTAATATTTTAAATATATTTTAAAATTTACATTACCTCATTACAATTGAAAGGTTCCAAACCAATTGCAAGTTTTCCTAGAATGCTACATCCAAGTCGAGAACCATTTAGGAACCTTTATTTCTAAGAGTGTAATGACATTGTTTTGGCAGTAAGATTTGGCCAAGCATTTTATTTTAGCACATTGCATGCTGTCACCAGCATGAGTTTTAAGGAAGCTCATGGTGCATTACTGAAGTCATGCTCATGTCTTCTCACTATTATGGAGACCCTGGAAAGACGATGCGTGTTATGCTAGTGGTGTCTGGCTTCCTCTGAGATGAGATAAGGTCGGTAGATGGTTGAGACTGGGTGCATCTCCTTTTTCCTGTAAGCTCATTGTTTTATTCTATCGCTCCCCCTTTGGAAGTATTAAGTAACAACTCAGCATCAAAGACTGTGTTAGGTATCAGACTGCTGAAATCATTCTTGTAATTTCCCGGAGCTAGACTTTGATGTGAGCCATATAAGTACTGTCCAGAATTTGGCCAGCAGTACCATTCACTATCACTTCACAGAATTGTCTCTCTTTTTCGATCATTTTGTCTGGAGAACTACACTGTGACCTCAGACAGATCGCTCCTTCAGCAATCTGCTAATGAGACTTCTTCAGAAAACTTTGTACTGCCTCGGCCTGCCTCTTGAAGTCTTCAGATGATTATTCTCTTACTGAAAGATACAGTAGGAGGGCTTACCAGTCTCAATCAGCGTGTCTAACCATCTCATGGAAGAGACGGCTTTGCTGCCTGTCTGCTTTAAGTCGTCGTTATGGTAGGTCGCTCTGTCCTGGTTTGATGGACGCTCCTCTTGTGTCTCCTCCTCCTAAGGTAATGGCCCTATGAAAAGTGTGCTGTTCAAACATCAACCCCCCATTAAACTGGCTGGGCTGACAGCTGGGGCCAAGTACCGGCTACGTGTCTATTCCCACGAGCAGCCTAGCGTCACCAGCGAGTATGTCACCTTTGAGACCAGCGGAGGTGAGGGCTAGCCTGAAACCAGATCAGAACTGGGGCCTAATACTCTAAGCTGCAGGCTTATTAGTTATTTACCCTAAATGGTCCATGTCCTGAAAAACATATTTTCTTTGCTTTTTTGAAATAAAAGAGGTTGACGGAGTATATAAACATTGTTAAATTAACATTGTTTCAAAACGCACCATTCACTCCCCCAGGCCATGAAGTATATGTATTGAAATGAAAACACAACAAGGTGCATTTGAAGGTATCTGCCTGTTTGTCTGTCTCATCTTCTGTGTACTTTCTAGCTAATTTTACATGACCTCCTCTCCCATACAGCTTTTTTCTTCCTTAAATCCATATCGCTTGCCCATCCAGCGATGAAGAAGCAGGTGTCAGTAGCCTATTTTTAATAATGTTCAGGCTTTCACAATAGCATGTGGATGGAGTCTGTACTAAATAATATGTCTGAAGACTACACATGTAGGGTTCTAGTACACACTCATGATTGGAGATTTAAAATGTTAGGGAAGAATAGTGTGAGGAGTCATACAAACATACTTTTAATAGAATAACAGTAACAATAACATGGAAAATGCTGGTCTCTCGTGTGGAGTGTTGTGTTATCCATGTTAAAGACTTCAAGTTGGTAACTATTATGAACTACATATAAATCAAAAACAATTACCTTTGTTAACAAAACAAAGTTTTGCTATTACTTATCCACTATCACTCTCCCACTGAGAAACACCAGAAGAAAAAAGTCACATGAATGAAGCGGTCCAAGTCAGCTTAAGGCAGTTTAGCCCTGCCCATTCGCGCTGAAGTTATAAGGTGTGTTGCAGCCTGAAAATGAATTATTTTATTCAAAAAAAAAAACAAAACACAAGAACGATTATACATTATGGCCCCTTTAAGACTTTCCTAGGAAGTTGTTTGGTAACTACTTTAAAACTATTGAGTAAGTTCTGTAGTTTTGAAAGAGCAATTAAAATGTGAGAACACAAACACTTGCAGTTTAAGAGGTTAACGATTCTTTTCAGATTCATCAGATTTCTTTTTGCTGTTTTTGCACATAAATAAAGCAATTTAAGTGTACGTTAACCATTATCTCAAGTTTGGAGTCTGCACTTAGCTAATTGCAAAAGTCTTCAATTAATGTGTTTCACGCAGTTGTTTATGTGCTGTGTCTAAATTAAACTTTCTATGTTTTATAAGGAGCCACAGCAAGGGAGCAATTTAACAAGCCACAGACATTTCCACTGAGAGTACTGAAGAAAGTGCAATATGTGGGCAGTATAATGTAACTGTGTTGAAATGTACAGTCATTGCCGTTTGCGATGAATAGTTACAATAATATTCCTAATAAGCAGTTATATTTTTGTGCTAGTAGTAAGCAATTATTTTCAGTGTTTCATAGACGAATGAGTCAATTAACAAAGCTTTGCCTCTGGAATTGTCGCCTGGTTTCATTGATTGTAGTGTCTTTCAGTAAGCCATTCAAATCGATAAGAAAACAGCCCTGTTTTTTTCTCTTATGAAACCTGTGATCATGGAATGAGTGTGTGCCTCAGGTGTGGTAAGCCAGATGAAATCTCCCACGCTGTGTTCTGTAATAGCATGCAGAATATAATATTGATCCTCTATCTCTCGTTCAGCATTGTTTCCCCTCTGGCTTGGGCCGGTTTATGATATTAAGCATATTGAATGTGTCTGGATGAGAGTAGCATAATATGTCTTTTTGCCCTGATTAACACATAGATGAGAAAAACACATTACCTTTACATGGACTGTCAAGATAACCCTGCAAATGCTCGGCACCCAGTATGGCAGCTAATTCTGTTTGAAATCAGGTTGTAGTACATTCTAGGGCTCATTCAACATGAAGCTTTGTTACTAAGTTTAGGGAGCTAAAAAGTCTAATAATTGAAGGTATTGGCTTACATAATTTGAAATGGCCAAAAATGAAAGAAACTAAAAGATAAATTAAGAATACAAATACACATACACATGCAAATCAAATAATCCATACCTTCAATTGAAAGAGATACAACAATTATGCAAAAAAACTTGTTTAAAAGACAGACAGTGCCATCTAGCGATACATAAAAGCATTTTGATTAATTGCTATATTATTTCATATTATGGTTAATATGACCTTAGACTGTTTTTGATGTGTACATTTTGGGTGTTTTTCATGTATTTTGACTGGGTTTGAACACTTTTTGGCTGGAAATAACAGAAGCAATCTGATAGCAAAGTATAACTATACCCATGCACATTCCTACTTCAAGTACCCTGAAGAAGTGATTTTAACATAGCACAACATTTTAGCCCTAAGCAAGCACAAATGTAGGGCTAAGAACCTGAATCCTGGCTGATTGGATGCAGATATTAGAACATAGTAGGACTTGTAAAGGCGAATGAAAGGGATGTGCTCCTTTACTTGTCTTAATAGCTCTTGAGAAAACGCCGACTCTGTGCTGATATTGTTGTCACAGTGCACGGCTTGATAATGCAGGTCCTAATGCGCTCTTCCTTCCACTAATGTGTTTTTGATAAAGGACGGTTGTCAGTGAAGGCTTTGCCTGCTGGAACATAAAGACATTCATTAAAGATCTGATTTTGATTTGGTTGTAATAAGTCACAGGACAAATGGTGGTGAGTAGTCCATCTAGGAAACATACATTTCATTTCTCTCTCTCTCTCTCTCTCTCTCTCTCTCTCTCTCTTTCTCTCTCTCTATCATTCTTCCCTCTCTTTCCCTTGTGTATGTTTGTTTTATAATAGCCTACAGCAAGGACCAGGTAGACATTGCCACGCAGGGCTGGTTCATTGGTCTCATGTGTGCCATTGCACTTCTGGTGCTCATCCTGCTCATCGTTTGCTTCATAAAGAGGAGCCGAGGAGGAAAATACCCAGGTAAACACTAACAGTGCTGTAAAGATAATGACACTCCAAAGGCCAATTCACATTGGGCTGATTTCCGAAGAGATTTTAGTTGTCCTGTTGTATGTGATGGACCAGATATGCTTCCATTTTAAGTTATCTTTCAGTCCATGCTGGCTGTCCTGTGTTTTTTTTTTACACGTCAGATCTATTTTTTTACTTGCAAGAGGGAGTAAAGTGTAAACTCCATAGAGATCTAGTCAGATCACACATTCCCACTTTTTATAGTATTCTAAACTAGATTTAAAGGGTCCATATCATGGAAAACACAATTTCCTTGCTTTTTTAAAATAAAGGAGTTTGAAGTAATACAAAGTATCAAAATGTGCTATTCACTACCTGGTCCATTTAGTCTGTATTAGGCTGCAAAAACAGGCCGTTTTGAATATATTGTTTCTGTGGTGTCACAAAAATCATATATCCACCTATTCATAATGAAGTTCTAAGGGGTGTTTCAGCTCTGAGTGCTTTTTTAGTGAGGCACAGTACAGGGCAGCCAATCAGAACAGAGCTCATTTATCTTAATATCAGTCATATATCTGGCATAGTAATGAATACAGCCTGTTTAATTCTAAGGAATACAGAAAGGCTGGAAAATGGTAATTTAAAATGAATTACGACCATTTTTGTAAACTTCGCAAGTAAGTGGACCCAAAAGAGAAAAAAGAAAGTACAAGAAAAATATTGGCTCTTAAAAATTTTAATTTACTGAACCAACAGCAGAAAAAAACATGACTGTGATTTCAGACCTGCTGTTTGTGTTGTCAAATTGTAATCATGCTATGAAACCGATTCATTAGAATAGAAAGGGGGACAAATTAGTCAATTTTTCCATCTGAACTTGTTTCATGAGTCAGAGTGAAATGTACACAGTTGCTTGTCGGGGTAACATATCATTTTATTGGTCCATTTATCATGAAATACACATACAATACAAAGAGCAGTGGCTGTTTTTAAATGGAGACACAAGGTTTTTATTACAAATGACATATTCCATTGACCATCCAGTGTAGCAGAGATAGTCCAGCAGAGGTGGAGCTGTAATATTTCATGACAGTTCCAAACGGTTATTCATGAATGTAGAGATAGCCTATTATATGTACTGTTAACTATGTCAAATCAATTTGTGTTACACAGTGATCACAGATCATGTGGTAATAGGTCTATATTTGTTTATTTGCTTCTATATTCTAATCATTCCCATTATTGTGCACCTATTTTCCTTCCTTTTCCTCAGTGAGAGAGAAAAAAGAGCTACCTTTGGACCCTGTAGACCAGAAAGACCAGGATGGATCATTTGATTACCAGTAAGTCTGTCTTCTGCTTTACAAAAAAACTTCAGTGTTGAATTCTGACATTAAAGGGCTCATATCATGGAAAAACTTGATTTCTCCTCCCTTTTTTGCCATATGTAGTATATAATATGTAGTTTTAAGGTTTCAAAATGTTCCATACACTTATGGATACAGTATTGGAAACTGCCCAAAAACAGTCCATTTTGAATTTGGTTTTGTGATGTTACAAAAACCAGCGCATACATATATATTCCCCTATTGAATTTGCAGCAGTCAGTCCTTCCATTCACTTCAAAGTTAAGAGAATGCGACACAATACAGGGCAGCCAGTCAGAACAGAGCTTGTTTAACTATATCAGGCTTAAAGACACAGTAACAAAATCAACCTGTTTAATTCTAAGGGTTGGAAAATGGTCATGTAAAATGAATTATGACTGTTTATGGTACATTAACCCACAAAAAATCATAAGTAGACTTTAAGGGGGAGAAGATAAAGTCCAAAAAGTGCAAGATATGACCCCTTTAAGCAAAAAAGATTCCACTTTGATTTTCTCCTCTTCTGTCTGAGGAGAGCTTATTTACCTTTCTGCCTTCTAATATTTTATTGCTGTATTTGGTGTGTTATCTGTTGGTGAGTTGCCTTTCTTTTGCCTGTTTCAGGTTAGCTCTGACGTAATAGAGAGATGAGCGGGAGCAGCCCTTCTCTGTATTAATGAAAACTAATGAATAACTTAATAACTTACATAAAATCTTCTTTAAAGAAACAAAAACATTAAAAATCAGTCATTTGTTACGCTTAAACTAACCAAATGCTTTACAGAAACACTGATCCCATTAAGCTCTCTGTCTAGCAGGAGCTGGGCAAGCATTGCCAAGGGCAACGGTCACTCAAGTAACGAGGTAGCGGCGGTTGCCATGGAGTTGACTGCTCTCTGCTGTGGCCTCGCTGAGAGTAGCTCCAGACAATGGTCAGCAAAACTGCCCTGCTCCCCTCTAGTCTTCCTTCAGATAGCCAAACTCTGGATGACTAAGGGATGGGCTACATTTGGCACGCATTTATGCCATACTGCTCGGGCACACAGTCCTTATGCCATTTGGCAGTTATCAAGGCACTGCAGTGTGGTGCTAATTGTACCTTTGACCTCATTATAAGCTGCAGTCATAGTAGTGAAAAAAGCATGTTATTGTCAAAGTGCGCTGGCACGGTCACTAACAATTTTATGTGTGACCTATGATAGCTGTTTAGTCTTATTGGAAATCTACCTTATAGTGTAATTTGGTAATAATAGTTTCTTACTGTGAGCTCATTGAAACAAGAAGAGAAATTCTGTAGAAAGTGCAAATTCTAAACTTTCAGTCAATACAGTGTTTTTGTTTCTTAGAATGAAATGATTTAATAAAAGGTTATATTTGTCAATACAGTCATCTGTTGGGAGGTAAATAAATGAAGAAAACACAGAACATTAATTTATAGAGACATGTCTTGGGTCTTACTACAACAAAAGTTCGAACTTCCCACTTAGTGCCATAACATATTTAGAGGGCAGCTGAGAGTAATGTTTGTTTATTTGAACTGGAGCTGTGTCTGTCATCAGGTGGAAGCTACTAGTATTGACATCTAATAAACTTTAGGTTTATATGTTAATAGCTGTATAGAATTAACAAAAAAGACCTTAAAATCCTTGCTCACAAAGACAGTTATTTGTCACAGTTGTGACAGGCCTAAGTATTTTCTTGTTTTGCAGACAGAAAAAACATTTTTTTTTCCATTTTCGTAATTTGCCATGATTGTCATTGTTTGACATAGAAGGAAACATAAAAAGTCAAACTCAAAGCTGTCGATATAAAATGTACATGAAGTTCACTGTGTAACTCACTAAATAATTTAGTGTGTAATTATATTTGAATAATTTAGCAAAACTAAAGCAGTAAGCGTTGATGCACAGATACAGATTACAGATGCTGACTGAACTAAAGACTGATTCATTAGCATTAGCTGTTTTAACATGCTTGTGCTTTTCCACTATAATGTATTAATTTGTTGAATGGAAAACATTCACTAACAGGTGCACTAACAAGGCAAAACGTTTCATCTTACTTTCTGCAAAACACAGCCGCTTATTAACATCTTCAACAGCTGTTCTGCATTCAGCGGCACACATTCAGTTCATCTTACTATGTACTCCCTGACAAGAGACTCAAAACCACAAATCTGCTGTAATTGATTGCCTCTCTAATGCCAAGTCCTTTTTTTAGTGGAAATCCATGTTAAGATCTGTCTTCTACGTGCGCTCAATAGCTCTGCTTCTAACTCCTTTGTCGTCTAAACTGTTAAATGTCCTTTTTACCACCCATCCTTGTGACCCCTCCTCTTCCTCTCTCTCCCTCCATCACTGAAAATGACGGATTGGTTATTAAGGAATGAGAACAGGTATTTGGTTTTGACACAGCATCTGTCAGCTTGAGCATGTTATAGACCTCTGAGGATGTGTCATTGTTTTGCAGTTTGCTGTCAGCATCCGGACAAGTCCTGGATCTTAGTTGTTTTTCATGGGAAGAATGAATGGCACTATGTGGTTAACTGAGTTTCGAAGTCTACCCGTGCTGCCTAAAGTTGGTCCATGAGGACATTTGATTTGGCTGCCCAGAAAGTTGCTCTACCTTCACCCCTCACTCAATTTGAGAACATATTTCCATATTGTATATGACTTAATTAAATTTTAGATTTCCTTTACAAGTTGTACCTTTTGAAGTATTTTAATAACAAAATATAGTGTATTATTAGAAAATACCTTTTTCATCGTTTTTTGCATCGTTTTGCATCGTTTTGTTATTTGGCTTTCAGACCAACCGCAAATTCAGCATTGTAGACCCCTAAGACACAACGTTTGGGTACCCGTTATCTATATCTTTTGTCCTATGTACATTTTCCCCCAAACATAAACGTGTCATTTGAATTACACGGTTGTTCAAATAAGGATAACGGCTACATACATGCTACATGCAAGCTAAAACTACTGCATGTTGACAACAGCAATAAAGACTGACAAATACGCTGTGCAAACTAGCAAGCTTTGTCAAGTAGGGTAGTGAGGTGGCTTTGGCAGTAGTGGCCTACAGTTTGAGTACAGTAAGCTTCCATTTTTAGTTGCGTTACTTTTCTGTAAATTAGTGATATCAACTAAATGCACTGGAGTGTTAGCCTGCTTGTAGCCAGAAGACCCAGAGTATCCAGTGACATTCAGGGGGAAAAAATATATAGAGGATAAAACATATTGACTTTGGGACATTTTTGTTTGCCATGGAGTGCCACAGCAGCAATTTTCAGTAGCACAATTCATTTTTCACATAGGCAAAACTGGCTTAGACCTGGAGTCCTTTTTTGGGCATGTCGCTCAGAGGTCTATTGTTTTTTTCTTAAAGGGAAGTTGGCTAGAAAGGTGGAGTCACAGCTGATGTCCAGTCAGCAATCTAGTTCTTCAGGGGTGTCAGATACGTAATTGGGCATGTCTTTATTCAAAATAAGGCTGCACTTTCAATCATGAAGCTACACTGTTGACAATAATCAGTGCCAATGGGCATTAAACCCACCCTATTATAGTCCATTAACAGCCTGTCATTAATGAGGCTCAAACAAAGTCAGTATTTAACAGAGCGTCCCGAGACAGCTTGACGGGTCTTGAAGCGCTTTGCTTGGCCAGTAAAAGATGGTTTTGTCTCTTCCCTGTAAAAGCATAATTGCTTTGTTTTTGCTGGATGGCTGACATTTAAAAAGCACCAACTCTGTGACGCAGAGGTCAAATCAATTTCACTGGAGTAGCAACGGAGGGCGAAGTGCCTCTCCCTCCGGCCCTGTTTGACACCCTTGAGGTACTGTTCTGCTGAAAAAGCAGCACTCGACAGCAAGAACCCAGTGTTGCAGCTACTGACTTGAAATCCACTGTATTTCTTGCATGTAGTGTAATGATGTTATTGCTCTAGCCTGCTCTGAGGTCAAATAAAGTCAGACCCACATGGAACATGCATGCAGTGAAACAGCTAGCAAAATGTTTAGGTTCTTAAAGCCTTGCACTGCAAAAAAGATGCCTTGGCAAGTGAAAGCACCTTAGTCAATATATCTATTATGTGTTTCATTGTAAGATTGTTACAACATTGTTAGAACATTCAACTTCATTTCCAGCAGGGTTGCAATGACACAGCTATTTTCAGTACGACTGTCGATTCTGAAGACAAGATTAAATTTAGTTTTGGGAATTTTATGTATTATAAAGAAGCACTAGTCATACTGCACAGATTGTTTCTTAAATAGAATGTTATTTTAACTCCTGCTCCTTTTTTAAGTCCCTCCCTCCTCCCTGCTCACTTTACTCTGATAGGATGCACCTAGATGCCTGCATTTGATTATTGACAGTGGATTTTGTGGAAAACAGTGGAGAGACCCTTGTAAGAGATTGAGGGGCATGTCAACAATACAATTTAACATTTCAAGTGAAATTTTTTTTTTGCTTTTTGTACTGAAATCATTATGCCCATTTTTACTAAAATTACTTAACAAAAGGGAACGGATCTTACTGCATTGGCAGACTCTGCCTTGAAACAAGAAAAGTGCTTTTCCAGTGCAGTAAAAAAAAGCAAGTAAAAATGTCTACAAATAGGTTGAATAATCTTACACTAATCTTACAACAATCTCATAATGAAAAGGTAGACGTATTGCCTACAGTTAAAATGCTTCCACTTGCCAAGACATAATTTTTTATCAGTGCGGGCATATGATGACAACATATTTCTTGATTTTAAAATGTTTGATTTCACTGTGCTTGAGATATGGTTGGTAGGATGTTGATTAGCCAGATTACATTCACATCAAACAGAATAATTAGCACGTCTGCTCTGCATTCAATGCACAATTAACAAAAATAGCAGCTTCTACGTGTCTTGAATAGAATATTAGGGACAAGAATGTGTGAGAAGAAAAGACAAGTGTTACACTGGTTTCTGTGTTCAGCAGTCCCCCTGCAGTGACTCAACTGTCTTTTCAACTGGTTTTCCATCCTCTGTTTTTAACCCTCTCTTTCCCTATTGTTCCCTGAAGGTCTCTTGAAAGGGAAAGGTATGAAAGAAGAAAAATGAGCATTTTTGACTCCCTTAATATCAGTTTGCCCATCATCTGCATTGAGTTTTTGGTTTTAATCGATTAACACACACACCTAAATCAATAACGACATTGTCCAGGATGTAAAAACACTCACCCCAATGTTTTAGCAAGAGTGGATTTCACTCAGCATCTTTAACATTTTTCATTATTTGACCTGTGGTTTGACCTTAATCCATCAACTAGATTAAATGTATTCTACATCAAACAAACAGATTTTTTCACCAGATAGCCTCTGGCCAAACCTTAACCCTGCTGCTGAATCCCTGCTGAATTTGTTTTTTTTGGAACTACATTATAACATTATTGAAATGACATGGTTTGATCATTTTGACATTTCTCAGTTAGGTTTGTCACTCCTGTCTTGTGTTGTAACATATTTATCTTGTAGTCCCAACCTGTGTCATTAATCGATTAAAACAAAAATTCCTTATAAGTAGGGCTGGGTATTGGTAAAGAGATATCATTAAAATACTAATACAGATATCTTGTAGACTTCGATATCGATACCTTTTTTCAATTGCAAACTGAAAGTGGATGTGGCTTAAGCCAGAAGTGAGTGTGAGGTTCTCCATCCACTTTTGATCATGTAGCATCATTTAGTAGTCAGCATCATGCCAATATAAAGAAATCTGAGTCCTAGAGGTTTTCCCAATCGGAAAAATGATCAGTGTTTTCCCAAAGCACAGCAACCACGCTTTTCCTATCAAACTACATGCTTTGTTGATTTGCTACATTTCACATTTTCGAAAAATTTAAATAAAATATAAAATGTGGCTTGTACAAAGGTTATGGAACATTTTATAATGTATTTTATCCTGTATGTTTACACTCCAATGTGTTCACCTCAGCAAATCTAAGAAACTGCACAACAATTTGCAGATATTTCTAAGAGAATTATTTTCACTTAGAAAATCAACAAAGCATGTCATTTGACTGGGGTATGCAAGTTTTTATGTATGTCTGTGTGTTCCAAACCTGAAAACAAGGTCCATTTTAGTCCCAAAATGTCACTGGATCCTCTGAATTACAAGGTCATTAAGGAGTCAAAATATGAATATTGCTACATCCATGCTAGAAGCAAGCTAACATTCCTGTGCAGTAAATTGACATCTTATGACAGTAAGTCTACCACTAAACTTTTACCTTATTCAGTAACAACACCAGATACTCAAACAGCTTAACTGAGATATTTGACAAAGCTTGCTGGAATGTGTGGGGTATTTTGGTGAGGATGCCAGTTTTATGATGTCAGTTCAGTGCACAGCAGTGTTAGCTTGCATGTAGCAACATTCATATTTCACCTCCTTGTCCTTGTAAATTCAGAAGATCCAATGACATTTAGAGGAAAATGTACACACAACAGAACATATAAAGTTTTGAACATTTTAGTTTAATACAGTGCGTGATTTTTAAAAATGCTGTTTTCCCCATAGGGAGACATTGCTTAGACTCTTTGGTCTCAAATGAGAAGGTGCAACACACATCTTGAATGCTAAGACTGACTACTTAGGTATTGAAATTCAGTACTAAATAACTCAAAATCTGATATATGTACTAATTCTAGTAGTATTGAAGTCATTTGGGCAGTACTGTAAAAATTTCGAACTTTGATACCCAGCCCTGATTATAAGCAGTTTCTCGTTGTTCTGTTCCTTTTTTTAAATTTAATGGAGGTTTGAATATAGTAATATGTTGTGCCAAACACGTGGTTTCAAACCAGTTTTACTTAAGGAGTAATGTTCACATTATTGCCTCTGTTGTTTTGCCTCAGTGATCCCCTAAGCACAGTGACAATGCTACTGATGTGGGCTTCCAGCTGACATGGTTTCAGAGCATGGTGCATGCAAGGAACCATGTCCTCTAGCCACATTATATCACAACTGTCATTTGAAACATACGCTGTACACCACTGGCCACTTTACAGTTAGAGACTGTAGACCATCTGTTGCACACAATTCACATTAGTCTTCCTCTAGCCCTTCATCAGTGGTCAGTTTCTGTCCGCAGAACAGCTGTTAAGGACTACAACAGCAGACCTGTAATCAGAAACAGACCAAGATTTAGTGGTGTAGAAGGTGGCTGACAAATTGTGCATGAAAACAGATGTCTGCTGTCTGTAATTGTGCACTTATATAGCGGACTTCATAAAGGCATCTGTTGGTCGTACATTTTCTAAACTGCGGATAGGTGTGGCTCATAAAATGGCCAGTGAGTGGACGAACAAGGTAGGCCTTCCTAATAAAGTGGATGACGAATCTTCTTGGCTGGCTGATGCTTCTTGTTTCTGTGAAGTGTACACTGGATGAAAGCATTTTTGCAATACAGAAGACTTGAGTATATCATAAGGTCCTGTAGTGGGATAAAAATAGTGTCAGTCACACCTTCTTTGATTGATTGATTTTTTCAGCATCGTCCACAAAATGAGAATCCTTCATTCAATGGAAAAGATCTTGTAAAAGTCTGCACTATAAGCCTTTTATCTTTTTTTCTCTCAAGTACCTTACCCAGGTTCTGTAGTGCTCTTCAATTCTGTGCCTGCTGTGACAGAGCAGATGTGCTTTTCTAATTCTTCTTGCATGATTATCCTTCATACTTGTGAGCAGATTCAGTGTCAGCATCATATGTCTGCGAACGGAGGGCAAGAGAATTAGTAGAACATAGATGTGTTGGTAATTTGCCATCGTATTACCTGAACCATAATGAATGAGTGTCTGGGCTGCAGAAGTGTTTTGTCAATAAGCAAAGCATCTGCACCCCCCCACCCACCTCCTTACCCCCACTGTGCTTTGTGCACCTCAAAAAGTGGCTCTCTCCTGGGATGAAACTATTGTTTTTGTGCTTTAGTTTTTGATATCTTTGCTCTATTGTCTGTTTTCTGAGAGAAGAAAAAAAATGTCAAGTTCTACTTTTGTGAGAAAGCTCCTGAATTATAGATATTCCTGCAAAAAATAGTTTGCCTCTTTGCTATCCAATGCAAAGGTTTTCCTTTGCGGTTTTCTCTCGGATATCCACAATGAAAAGTAACAAAAGAGCAAAGCAGCTCAAAGTTTTCTATTTCTGAGGACTCTTTGGTTTCAAACTATTCGTTATCCTGGTTGCAATTCCATTTCAGGAGTGCAGAAATGGAAAGACAACTTGAATAGGCACATGCTGATATAAAATCTCAAGGACAACATTGATAATTAATAATTAATACCTTGTGTTTGCTGATACCCATAACCAATCATTTAAAAATAATAAAATAAAACAGTCCTTTTCAAATTTGTCCAATTTATAGATGCCTTTGCCCTGCTTTGCTGCTGTTAATTTTCTTGCTAATGCTAGACGTATATGATGCTAGACTTTATATAGATCAGTGGAATGATAATTTTTGAAATGACTAAGTAGACTAGTAGCAATGAAAGTCCTTAATGAGTTTCCTTCCTTCTGAAAGTTTGTCGCAAACTGCTTTTCTGTTGTTCTCTTCTAAAGCTGCGAAAACATCCATCTTTATTCTACAACATCTGAGCATGACTATGCTTGCATCAGTGCATGCATGGGCAAAAATTATGCCAAGTTACCAGCCATAATTATTGGCTATAATTCTAGAATCAGATCAATTACTATTAATAATTTAAAATTTCTCATTTGTTGGTGAAAAACCAAGTATCTTCTTAAAATGTTCTTAGCAGCAGGAAAAACATCAATAACAAACAAGTGGCTTCACCTGGATGTCCGAACTAAAGGACAGTGGATACGTTTTTTTTTTTGTTAACAGTTAATAATTATGTTTTTTTCTTCACCTTTTTGCTAAATGGGTTTAATGTGCTCTATGGCCAAAAGTATGTATACACCAGTAGCTTGTTGGACATCCCATTCCTAAACAGTAGGCATTGACATGGAGTTGCCCCCTTCTTTGCAGCTATAACAGGCCGCACTCTTCTGGGATTTTGTAGAGTACCTGTGCTCATTCAGTCAAAAGAGCATTTGCGAGGTCAGACACTGATGTTGTACAAGAAGGCCTGGCTCACGATCAGCATTCCAGTTTATCCCAAAAGTGTTCAGTGGCGTTGAGGTCAGGGCTCTGTGCAGGAGTTCCTTCACACTGCCATGTCTTTTTTGAACCTCAGTTTGTGCACAGGGGCACAGTCATTTGCACCAGGAAAGTGCTCAGACTGTTGCCACAAAGTTGGAAGTTTGTAATTGTCTTTGTAGGCATTAACATTAGCCTTTACTGGAACTAAGAGCCTGAGTCCAAACCCTGAAACAGCCCCAAACTATTATCTGTCCCCCACCCAACTTTACTGTTGGCTTTGTGCTCTTAGGTAGGTAGCGTTCTCCAGGCACCCACCAAACCCAGATAGCGAAGCGTCATTTGTCAGAGAACATGTGTCCAATGGTGGCGTTTTGCACCACTCCAGCCGTTGCTTGGCGTTGTGCATAGTGATCCTAGGCTTGTGTACAGTTGCTTGGTTATTGAAACCTATGTCATGAAGCTCCTGACACCTGTGCTGATGTTGCTTTCAGAGGCTGTTTGGAACTCTGTAGTGAGTGATGCAACAGAGGATAGGTGATTTTTATTCACCATGAGCTTCAGCACTTGGCAGCTCTGCTCTTTGATTATGTGTGGTCTGCTGCTTTATGGCTGAGCTGTTGTTGCTCCGACACTTCCATTTCACAGTAATAGCATTAACACTTGACCAGGGCAGATCTAGCAGGGCAAGAATTTCTCTGACTTGTGGCTAAGGTGGCATCCAATGAAAACGCCATGTTTAAAGTCAGTGAGCTCCACCCAAGAGCTCTATCTATTCTACTGCCAGTGTTGATCTTTGCTGTTTGGCTATGTGCTTGATTTTATGCACTTTTTAGCAAAGAGTGTGGCTGAAACACCTGAAGTGAATAATTAGGATGGGTGTCCACATACTTTTGGCCATATAGTGTATATTGTTCACACATGTAGACCCTTAGCTGTGAAGTGGGATGTTACATCACTCTGTGTTTTTTTTTTCTATCACTTCAACAGTAGCGATGAGGACAACAAACCTTTGCAGGGCAGCCAGACATCTCTGGATGGAAATGTGAAGGAAAGCGATGACAGTCTGGTGGATTATGGAGAGGGAGGGGACGGGCAGTTCAACGAGGATGGCTCTTTTATCGGCCAGTACACAGTCAAAAAGGACAAGGAGGAGACGGAGGGCAATGAAAGCTCGGAGGCCACTTCACCTGTTAATGCCATCTACTCACTGGCGTAGAGCCTCCTTCAGCTCTGCCCTGGGGACAGCACCGCCAGGAAACTGGAGGCCGCAAATACACGAATATTTAAGCCAATATATGTAGAGAGAGAGCAAAATGGAAACACATATTACACAGAATGCTGGGATGCCTTGTCCCCATGAAAAGAAGAGGGTCAAAGGTCAAAAACAAACCCCATCCCCACGCTATTTGGAGGGGAATTTAGAACAGTGCCTGTGTCCCTAAGCCCCATACAGACTGTAGTGTGACTATAGGGCAAGGGGGCATAGGGAAAGGGACGGCAACTCGGGACTTTCAAGCATTTTGTGTGGCTTTTTTATTTTATTTTTAGAAATCCCGAACCCGCTTTTACCCCTGACTCCCTCTCTGTAGCTAGCATCAAAGAAAAGGAGACACAAGCGGCAGTCCTGTGACATATCAACTGTGGGCCGACTCCACAAAGGGACGTTGGCAAATGCGTTTATCATATTGATATTTCAGCAACGAAAGATCTGTTTTTTTTTTCCTTCTCACAGCCGATAGATGTGTCAAAAAAAAAGATACATGAATGCTGTAATCAGTGCCGGCGCAGCTTGCTGTGCCATTCAAAGCTATGCACTATGTATTACCACACTACATTATCTTTGGTTTGAAATCGGGTGATAAAACTTCTCATTTTCTTTTTTAAATGTTGTCTTGCGCGAAAAGCTAAACCTTAAATCTCTGAAATGCTATACTTCCTATACCTGGCATCCTCCCTGCAGATATGTATGTTTTCATTTGCTGCTTATCGAAAGCTTTTGCAAGTACATTTTCATTGGCTGCAGCTTTAGCGTTGCCATAATCGCCACTGACATTTATAGGTCCCAACCCAAGCACCATCACTCGTAAAATGTTGAGAAAGATATTATTTTGAAGCATGGTAGACTTTTAGTGCAAGAGACAATGGGTAGGATGAAAAGAAGACTTTATCTCTTTTAGGGAGACATTATGTTGGTAAAAACACAATTGTATAATCATTTTTCATAACTGGCACTAAATATTAGAATAAAGGGAATGACGAAAATGATGATCATGATGATGGACCTGACGGCCACCATTTTTTGTAGTATTTGGGCCGAGTCCTTTGTTTTAGTAACAGTTTGTGCAGGAAGTTTAAGAGGGTTGAGATGCAAATGTAGGTGGACTGCCATAACAGAAGCAGTAAATACTGAATGGCTTTCTTAACAGAGAGAAACAGTCACGTATTTAATTATGGTTTTATTTAACATTTTCATCTCGTATATTTTTGGGAAATTGACCTATCTATGCTCTGTCCAAAAATGTGTTGTTTTATAGCAACTGTTGCAAGGCTTGCTTTGTAGGAAAATCCATGTAAGAAATTCTAGCACACAATGCAGCTTTTTTGTTCAAATGCCTACATTTATTATCATATTTCAAACGATATTTATTTTTAATAAGTTTTTTAAAAGTTAGGATAGATGCTAAGTAGATTTTTTGACAATCAAGTATTGTCATTGTAATCAATATTTTTGATTAGCTACAACAACATAACCCAGCTTGGTATCGCTATAAGTTCTCCTTATAGGTCTGCACGGGCATGAAATTGAACCCGTCCCTTACCTGTGAGTCCCAACCCGAACAGGCCCAGTTTTGTACTGCCAAATTTGACACCCAAACCCCGGCCCGAACCCACCTGCACGTATGAACAGAGATGGATTCTTGCATTAACGCTTTGCTTTGCTACTAAGTGATTGAGATGAATGATGAAAATGAACTAAAATAAACTCAACATACTTATAGCTGAGGTTTTGTGGTAGCCAACACTGACCTACCTAACTACCACTTAAAATACTACCTTTGTCTGGTGTAATGACCAGGACGTAATGTTTTCACAATGAAGGCATCTTAAGTGTAGTAAGGCATTGTTGCACACATACAAGACTATACTAAAGAGAGAGAGAGAGCACAAGAAGAGAAAATGTTTGTGTTAAATTTACACAAACATTAAATTACATTCAATTTACAAGGCATATTCCTTCAAATATAAACAAATCTACTGCATAAAAAATCAGTCAAACACAAGCCTGATGTTGTACATAAAAAATCGGCCCAAATCCAGCCCGAAAATTGATACTATGTCAGGCCACATAAGGCTCGGATTGAGTAGCAGACGTCTTTGTCCAGCCTTGCAACAACTACAAATGAATGCATTTGTGATCGGAGCGTGGATAGGTCAGTTGTAGAGACTGTATGAAAATTAGTTACGAACAATGTTAGGGGAGCCATCAGATGACGCATGCTTTCTTTCTAGAGCTTGGCCTCAACACTGCCCACAAAAGCCATGCATATGTAAGTCTAGTGCCACTTAAAAGTGGTGGATGTGACCACTAAGCTTCTGCACTCACAAATACAGCGCCACTTTTTGTACTGCACCAATATAGTCACTTCCCCCCAGAGGGCTGGTTGTATGTAGAATCAAGTATTTATTTGTATTTAATTTATAACATTCGTAGGACTAATGGATTAATGTTGACTTTAATGAACACCCAATTTTAACTGCTTGTCTCACAGGGTCACCTAATCGTGACTCTCAACACAGATTAAAAGCTACATCACGAAAGCTTCTTACCTAACGTAAGGTAAATATATACTTTAATAGATCTATATTAGACCCATACTATGTGGCAATGGATGGGCAATGGATTTCTGCTGTAAACTAACAAACTATAATGTTGCCATTAAATGTACGTTTTTGTCTCTTGATTGTGCTGCTCTTTTAGTATTACTGTTATTGTATTACTGTTATAATGTGTTGATATATTTAGAATTTATTTAATGTACACTTTTACATGACACAGAAAGGAAATATTGTTTATTTATTTTGCTCAGATAGGGTCTTGTGTCCTCTTTAATTTGTGTAAATATTGATTTTCTCGACTTCACACTTTACAAAGGAGTGGAACAACAAGTAATCAGTGCAACCCGAAATGGTAGATGTTGTAAATGCATTTCAAATATTACTAAGCTTTGATTAGATATTTTCTTACACTCAACCTTTATGATTGGCTCAGTAATGGTCTTTGATGGGGTATTTGAATGAGGCTAACTTGTGCGCCCTCTTTGTTTTGTACTGTATGTAAGTGGCATAGCTGTTCTCTCTGTTCTCTAGGAATCTTACATGATGATGTACATAGTGAGTGCTCCAAAACTCGTGTAGCATTCTGCACCTTTCTACAGAGGATGAAGCTTAATCTTTGTCTTGGTGATCAAATGGCAGTGTGTGAGGCGAAGTACGTTTGTTTTTTTTTTGTTTTTTTGTCACTTCCTGTTTATACGCCACTTCGCCTCAGTGTCGTCCAATCAGGCTGCAGTCCTGTTCTCCTGTCATGCCTTTCACTTGTGACATTAGAGGATCCTACTGACGACGTTGACCACTCTGTGGAAGGGCTCTAAATCAGGTCCAAGGCGATGTCCTCGATAAATGCCTTCACGTTAAAGAGAGCTTTGTTTGGTGAACTCATTGAAACCTCATGTTGGACTTTTCATCAGTTTCTGCGTTTTCCAATACCTCAAAGCAATATTCTACCTGTTTGTTTTTCTCATTGTCCTTGTTTTCATTTCCATCAAGTAATCTGCCACCAGAACTTTTACCACAGCCTACAGATAATGATTTACATGCACAGACAACTCACAAGAGCACAGAGGAATAGCGACAGTGATCTCTGAGGCTTGTAGTCGTTTAGAGTGACCACTTTGAGGGTAACAGTGTTTTACGGAAGCGCACACTCTTAAAAACAAAGGTTCTTTGGAGCGATGCCATAGAACCACTTTTGGTTTTCCTAAAACAACCTTTCAATGGAAGCGTGAAAAACTTTTTTAGTTTAAAGAACCTGCACATAATATAAAGGTTCTATACCAATTAAAGGTCTTTCCTAAGACTTTAGCTCTAAAACCATTTAGGAACCTGCATTTTTAAGAGTGTAGAAAGCCAATGATCATGGTACATCCAAACCTGCTTGGAAATGGAAGATAGGAGTTGTTTTGTGTGTCTATATTTTCCCCACCTCGGGCCTTTGGACTCACCTCTTTGACAGCCACTTTTGCTGTCCTCATAGATGCTTTTCTTTTTCCATAAAGACAAAAAGGGAATGGACTGGCAAAGTTCAGAACAGATATTATATGAATATGTTTTTGCACCTCCATTTATTCTGTCTTTCTTACATCATCAGTCTGTCTGTGTGCTGGTTTCTGGCTAAATGTATACACTACTCTAGTCAGTATACTCTACTCAGCTAGAAAAAATGTGTTTTAAATATCAAGTGTCAAAGAGTTGAAAATATAGATATGCACTTCAGCATTTCAGCAGCATTGTACTTCATCTCAGATTTTTGTTTGTTACAAATTCTGTAAAAAGCAGAATTATCACATTGTATTCCATAGATTCAAATTATTATTATTATTGCTGTTGTTGTTGTTGTTATTTAAAACACTAGTTTTGTATCAAAATCTGATCCATTTTTTTCTGTCATCAGTGTCCCAAGACAGCTCTTTGATTTACTGCTTCTGCCTGCAGGGTAACAGTGTTGTATGTAAATCTAGTCAAAAAGAAAAATGGCATATTACCATATTCACCATGTATGCGTGTATGATGAGATGCTGCAACTTAATCTGCTAGAAAAGCCTTTCTTTATAGTAAAGCTGTGTCATTTTCTCTACCTTTGGGTTGTGTCTTTGCTAATGTTTAACGTGTGCAACTGTGAATCAGTCATGACAAATATT